GCCTTCTTGGTTGTGGTGACTACCCTGTGGAATGCCCTCCCATCAGATGTCAAGGAAAGAAACAACTGACTTTTAGAAGACATCTGAAGGCAGCTCTATTTAGGGAAGTTTTTAATGTCTGATGTTTTATTGTATTTTTAATATTTTGTTGGAAGCCGCCCACAGTGGCTGGGGAAACCCAGCCAGATGGGTGGGGTATTAATAATAATAATAACAGTAGTAAAGGTAAAGGTAAAGGTACCCCTGCCCATACGGGCCAGTCGTGTCGGACTCTGGGGTTGCGTGCTCATCTCGCTCTAGAGGCCGTGAGCCGGCGCCGTCCGAAGACACTTTCGGGTCACGTGGCCAGCGTGATGAAGCTGCAGCTGGCGAGCCAGCACCAGCGCAGCGCACGGAAACGCCGTTTGCCTTCCCGCTATAATGCGGTACCTATTTATCTACTTGCACTTAAGAGTGCTTTCGAACTGCTAGGTGGGCAGGAGCTGGGACCGAACAACGGGAGCTCACCCCGTCGCGGGGATTCGAACCGCCGACCATACGATCGGCAAGTCCTAGGCACTGAGGTTTTACCCACAGCGCCACCCACGTCCCCGATAACAGTAGTAGTAGTTGTAGTAGTAGTAATAGTAATAATAATGATGATGATGATGATGCAGTACTCCCTAGGGAAAGACAGGTGCTCATCTGCCTCCATGATGATGTAGCCTAGAGGAGATTTGGGGGGTGTCAGGCTGTCTGAGCTCCATTTTCTGCTCCTCCATAGCCCCACCATCACCAAGCTCACTTTGTACCCTTCCTCCCTTCAAGGCGGGCCTCTACAGCTGTTTTACCTGGCTGACTCATTTTGCAGCTCTTACACTTGTTAGGGGAAAAGTCATCTGTCAGCAAAACTAGTCAGTTTTGTTCTGTACTCCCGTGGCTTCAATTTCCCCCTTCTCCCATGGAGGCTTTCAGCTCCTGTCTCTGGAATTTATGTCCTTAAAGTCTCCTAGGGGTTGGTATTGATTTCTGAGTGTTATTTTCACAGTTGTTTCAAACACTCTTTCAGAAGCAGCTCACAAAATCTGTGCCTATGGGGGAGGGCAGAGGAGCTGCTCTTGGTCTCTTGGGTCTCCCTGACACCCTCTTAAGAACACAGGAACATTACGAAGAATGTGCTGGATCCAGCCAATGACCCATCCTAGTCCAGCATCCTCATCTCATCATGGCTGACCAGATGCCTGTGGAAAACCCTCAAGGAGGATTCAAGTACAAGAGCCCTTTCCACTCTTGTGATTTTCCAGAAGCTGGTATTCAGAAACATTACTGCCTCCATCTTATAAGGCTATAACTATTGACAGCTACTCGTCGTGATTGATACATCATTTTATCTGTATGCCACCTTTCCATATTAAAAACCCTGCTCAAGCACGATACAACATGGAAAAACAACATGATTTCCCACAGGCATCTGGTCGGCTACCATAAGAACAGGATGTTGGACCAGATGGGCCTTATCCCAGCAGGCCCCTTTAGTTCTCATGCAAAGAACTGACCTTAGAGAATATCAGAGCAACTGAGAGATACAAAAATCCATCCCTGCCATGCGGTTGCTGTGTTAACCCAAGGGCATCTTTTTTGCCCATCCAAAAATGAGGTTTCTGTCCAAACCACAGCATGGCACAGACATCTGCATGGGTTTCTAGGCAGGTATCCCTCAGGTACTCAATGTTTAATTAAATGGTGCCCCAATGAAAGGAGGCATGTAAGTCATTTAATCTGGAAGTGGCAGTTCATCACAGCAGGAGGACTACATTTCTGATCCTGAAGTGAGAGTAGCAGCACCAGGGTTGCTTATTTTATAGAAATATAATCATTATTCCTGCCTCCTCAAAAAAGAAGTTGCTCAAAGAGACAAAGGAAGCCTAAAAACAAACACCATTATCTCATAATTTAATGAAGTTAGACAAAAAAACCCCACAAGACTAAAACAGCATCAATAAAACAAAGCTCTCCAGAGAGGCAGAACGAACCACAAATAGATTCAAATGAAATTAAGATGCAGCAGAATCAAATGTTTGTTTTAAAAGATATGCTTTCAAAGGCCAGCAGAGAACAGATGGAGAGGAAGGCTTGGACCCTCATGATCTCCCAATGCTCGCCTCCACACCGACCCCTCCCACCCCAGCTTCAGCCTCTGGAGGCAGATGGGCTGCTTTCCTTCTTTCCCGTCCCTGCTGATCTGGGAGTCCTTCCACAAAATCCCCTGGATGTGTGGAAAGTGTTTTAACTCACTCAGATGGAAATGCACTCTGTACTTGCACACACGATTATGCAGATGGTGGATGTGAAGACCAGATCCCCAAAGAGCAGGTCATGTGAGTTTACTGCAGTGGAAAAAGACGGATCAATTTGTATGTGATGACTTCAAGGGTGGATGGATTAAACGGCAACTTTTCCAGAGCTTCATCCTATTTGTGATGTTATCTCAGTACAGCTTCAGCCTGCAAAACCCACTGAACGATTCACCTCTCTTGTCACTCTGACCACATAAGCTTAATGCATCCTGCCACTGGTTTCCTGCTCACTCCTGGATCCAGCACAGTTCAAAACCCTCCTTGGCAGGGTCTCTTTATTAAGAGATTTGTTAATCCTCCTCATCAAATAATCTTTGTGTGGTTTGTTTTTTTAAAAAAATATATGGATGAGTTTATTCAATTGACAGTATCTGAGTACCAAGACCAGTGTTTCTCAACCAGGCGAGTGTATGTCTGAAGATCGGCAGGGGAGGATGAGTGTTTCCAAAAAATATGTACAATATAAGTAAAAAACAAAACAAAACCCCATCCAAATTAAATTATGAAAGTGTGAAGTGGTATGTGAAGATCACGTGCCGCTTATTACGTGATCAGCATACCATCGTGGGTGCACAGGAGTTCAGCATTACCTCTTGGTTGGTGTGATGTACAATATATACAGCACAGTAGTGCATCACGCAGGCTGCAGTGAATTGTGAGAATTTCGCACATACTATATATGCCATTGCTATTACCTATAAAATTATCTTTGATTTAAGGGAGATATTTTTAGTGTGTGGTTGAAACAACAACTGTGCAGCTGGAAAAGTGGGGAGGAAATTACACACACCAGGTGGATGTAGTTAGGAAGCACTTCAATGACTGGCAACAGCTGTGATTCTGGCATTTCAGGGGTTGGACTAGACGATCTTTTGGGCAACTTCCAACTCCATGATTCTATGGTTCTATAGATCAGGCACGTCCAGCTCCCAAGAGACTGTGATCTACTCCCAGTGTAGAAAAACTGGCAGTGAGCTTTTTTGGGGGGAAGGATTGACCAGAGTTGTTGAGCTTTATTGGGGGACCAATAACGATCACCTAGGAGATCACTAGTATAAGTTGTACCGTGATCAACCACAAACATACCCGCAATCAACCGGTAGATCGCGATTGACCTGTTGGACATGCCTGCTATAGATGATTAAATCAACTTAGTTTCCGCTGAGTTAAACTGCTGAAGCCATGCTAATATGCGTCCTTTTTCTTTGGGGCCAGAAAAACAGCCTCTGCTTCACTTACAACCTTAAGGCAGGCATTTTCCCCTCATATCCTTCTCAATACTTTTCAAGTCCTCCTGTTTTTGCACTGTTGCCCTGTCTAGCACACCACGTTCCTTCTTCTGCAGACAATGCAAAACAGAGCTGGTCTACTCTAGGGTTCTTCTCAGCCAATGGTGGCCTATTATTATAGATGTAAAGTTAATAAGTTTTCTGTTTCTACAGGTAGTTGGGCCCTGAACTAAACAATTCTTTGTTTTTGTTTTCTTAGAAGAGTACTACACTCACAATTCCCTCCCCTGCCACTCCAGCTGGGCATGAGAGACAGAGGAGCTCCATTAGCAAGCCAATCCAGGAAACTCATACTAATTTATCAATCCCTTTTGGCTTCGCTCACCAAATGCCTCCATCTCCTAGTCAGGCCTCTCAGGGTCACCAGACCTGGACTGAATCTGAGTGAGTCCATCTAGAAACCCTCGGGGAAAGCAGCCTAGGTTGGCAACTTGATTCTGCACACGATGGATAGCTCAGTTGGTTAGAGTGTGGCGCTGATAACACCAAGGTTGCAGGTTTGATCCCCATACGGGACAGCTGCATATTCGTGCATTGCAGGGGGTTGGACTAGATTACCACCTAGGTCCCTTCCAGCTGTATGGTTCTGGTAGAGGGAACTGAGCAGATCAACCTGCCAATTGTGCAGCACCAGTGTGAGGAAGCCTTTCATCACTACCCTTCAGTCCTTGCTAGAGCATCTCCAAGAGGAGTTTTGGGGAATCAAGTGTGATTCAGCTCTCAAAGACGTTTTGATCCAAATGTCTTTGTGAAGCTGTTCTTCCTGCTCTTATGGCTATTAAAACAAAGGCATTTGACTAGCGTGCAACATCTGTGCACAGATTGATAATAATTAAAACAGACTCTGAAAATTAAAAGTTCATGTGAAGTTTTTGATTTTTTAAAAAATTGTAAGCACTTTGACTCATTGTTATTTTTAAAACCCCAAAACATTGGAAGGCGGCGGATTCTCCTCTCTTGGAGGTTTTTCAACAGAGGCTGGATGACCCTCTGTCACGGATTCTTTCATTACGATTCCTGCATTGCAGGTGGCGCGGCTGGGCTAGATGACCCGGGGGCGGGTCCCTTCCAACTGTGCAATTCTATTATTTGTGATTAAAACTCCCGGTATTGCAGTCATTTAACATAAGGGGAGCCAGGTTTCGAGGTGGGGCGGCGGCATGGGATTTTTATGCTAGCTAAAAGGGGGAAACACTGACGTAGACCAACTACTGACCACGCCCCCGGGCAACCCCGCCCGCCCGTCCCGCCTCTCTCCTTCGCCCGCCGACCCCTATTGGCCGGTGGGCGTGGCGGCGCGCGGAGGCAGTTGCCTGGCAGCAGCGGGCGGCTGGAGCGCGCGGCAGCATGAGGAGCCTGGCCGGCGCGCGGGGCCATGGCACTGCCGCGCCTCGTCCTCCTCGGGCTGGTCGTGCGCGCTGCCTCCGCGGAGCAAGGTAGGGGGGGAAGACTGCGCTTAGCCAGGGAGGCTCCACCGAGGGGGTGCCGCCCTCCGCCAGGGCCAGGCAGTCCCATTGGAGGAGAGCCACCTCTCGGAGGTAGAGTGCCCACGAGCATGGATGCTCTGCTGGGTCATCAGCCCCCTTTTCCACCAATGGAGGGGTAGGGTGGGCGGGCGAGGCTTTCCAAAAGCGCACCCCCCGCCAGGGTACCCCAGGGGGCTGAGCAACCAAGAAAAGCCTCATCCTCTTCCTTTCCTCTCCTCCCGCATCCCTTTCTTGGTGTTTTCGTGGGCCGGCCGAGTGCTTGCAGGGAGCGAGCCCGGACGGGACGGAGGGGTAGACTGCGGCGGCACATGGAGGCTCCCCTTGACTCTGTGCTCCGAGCGCTACGCCGCCGGAAAGCCCGTCTCCTTTGGGGAACGTTGCCGCCAGCGCCTCTGAAGGGAGTTTGGGGGGCGGTGGGGGGAGTTTGAGAACGGGGCGCCCGTCGGGAGACCCACCGATCGTCGGGGGTCCTTAAGGTCGCTCGCTTGCTTCGGGAACCCTCTTCTGGACCCTGGCAGGAAAGTGGTTGCGGAGGAGCGCCATCTCTCCTCAGTGGGCTCGGCGCGCCCCTTCTCGCCCAGTGGCCCTGGCAGGGACGCCGCTGCCCAACGGCGCTCGGCGGTGGGGGGGGGGGGCACGCGACCGTGTGGCGCCAACGGGGCTCGACCTCGACGGCTTTCTGATGGACTGATTGTCGGTGGGCTAGGCTTGTCACTCCCGCAGGTGTTTAGAAAGCTTCCCTCCCGACAGCTCCCGGGCTCAGGCAGGCAGCTCTCCCTTGCTCCTTGTTTCTGCTGCCTCCGACACCCCCCTCTCCCCAATCCCAGTCTTTGCCGGCGGGCAGGGACAGTCCTGGATGCTGCATAGAGCTGAACCTCCCATGCCCAAGAGAGGCCGCTTCCAGAGATGCCGGCCCTCAACTCAGGGCGGTTTCAGTGGCAGCTCCCAGCAAGAGGGTCCAGTAAGGTTTCCTTCAAGAAGTGAGAGGATGGAGCCTCCCTTGAGTCCTGCTGGGGAGGAGGATGTTCCTCCTGCCAGGTAAACCCTTCCTCCTTTGTTGCCTGCTGTCAGCTGTGGGTTTTGCTGCTGCCTCCAGATGAGCTTTTGACTGCAAATATGCTGCCTGCTATGGCTATCATCTGTTCGGTTTGGCTCTAGAACTGCTTTTGATAAAACGGGCTGGTGTTTTGTTTCCTTTTGTTTTTTGCCCTGAGAATTTTATTTATCAAATTTATATCCCACCTTTCCATCACAAGATCGCAGGGCGGTTTGCAGAATAAAATACAAGATAAAAACACAAGTAAATAATTAAAACTAAAACAATAACCCAATCCCCTCCCCACAAATTTAGAAGACCGTGGAATATTAACCAGCCAAAGGCCTGGCTGAAATGCTTTTTATTATTATTTAAAGAAAGAAGTGTGTTACACTTCGGGAATGAAATAACCAGAGCACGCTGCTTCTGTTCCTGCGCTAGCTGCCGTCTGGCTTGCAAAGAGCAGTGTCCCTGGCAGACGAAAGCATTCATTGCTTGAACATTGCACTGCTTTGGTCTTGTGGGAACGAACTGGCTTGGATTGGCAGGAGCGTCCTACGAAATCTTTACTATAGTCACTGTGGCAGCTGCTGCTGCTTTGCTTGTCAAGGGGAGGGGATGTGCCCTGAATCTCTTGGTCAAACAGCTTCTTCTGTGAGATGCCTGGGCAGGATAATGAAGCTGTCTTGGATTAAGATGACTCTTCTCTTCTCTCCACCAGTCTCTGCCCTGCAAAACTGCCCCCGGGGGATGGAGGGAATTGATTGAGAAAAGGAGCCTTGGTTCAAAGTGGGAGCGTCCATGTTCAGGGTCACAGAGCAGAAGCAGTTAAATCACATGACTGGCACCTCTGGGCATGTAAGGCAGTCAGGGCTTCAGGGCAATGAGCAATTGGCAGAAAGGCAGGCTTAAGCCGTTTGGGGCCTCACCACAGAACCAACTCTGGGTGGCCTAGTCCTTCCAAGTTCTGGGCCTTCCCTCAAGTACTTCCCAGCTCTGAGGGGACTTCTCAGATATTAGGAACAGGCCTCCTGGGAGCCAGCAGTTCTCAGAAGCTCTGGCAGACAGCAGCTGAGCCCTCAAGCCCAGCTCTGGTAGGCAGCAGTCAGGCCATAGATTTGCTAGTTTCCTTTTGGATTCCTTCCCTAAAGATCAACCAGAGTGAACCAAGGGTGCCTGTAAGGGAGAGTTCAGGGACAGGCTCCACTGCATAGTCTCCTTCTAACATTTCTCTCTTTCTCTTTCAGTCATTTTGTTGGATTCTCAGGAATCGCAAGCTGAACTGGGCTGGACGTCACACCCTTCCAATGGGGTGAGTGGCTGTTCTGGTGCATTTGTGGTTCTGCAACACACTTGCTGAGCCTGGCCTGGTAGGCTGGCTTGGGAGTGGTGGTGGTGCTGCCACCAGCAAAGCCACTGAGGACACCCAGGCCCAATCTCTTCTCTTTGGCCAGTTGGTAATCTTTCCCCCCAGGTTAGTTTTGTTTACTGATTAAGAGAATGGCTGCTTTGCTTCTCCCTCAGCAAGGACCCTGCCTGCTGCCTGAAGTCACTTTGGTGGCAGAGAGAAGGGCACTCATGGTCTCCCAGGATAGGCAAGCTGTTTCGCTCTACTAATGGCCAGGCAGTTGCAAGAGGATAGCTCCCCATTGGCTTTAACTGTTGAAATCTGGTTTGAGAAACCCCAGGTGGCCTCAGAAGCCTGCTAGGCTTTTTCTTTTTAATTTTTAATCTTTTAAAGTTTGTTATTAGTAAGTAAAATAAACCAAAGAAAAATTGTGTGAAGAAGTACTCGTAATATTACAGCAGGGTGAAAGCATAGAATCATTATAGTTAAATTTATTGCTCCAAAACATTACATAATATATTCTTTTCTCCCCCATAAATCTGTTAGGCTGGTTTATATGTATTCTTTTGTAATAAGTTAGCTTTAGTTACTATAGCCCAAATTTTAGCAATCTATTTGCATGTAGCAGGAAATATGCCTCCCCCCTCATTTTTTAAGCTATCATAATCTTAACAGCTGTTATAATCATTCTGCAGAATAACATCTTATAGATAACCAAGTAGAAATCTTTGAGGTTCTGAGGGTATACGATACCCTAGCATATCAAGGATATTGGCCTAAATAGATTTCTAGAATATTGGTATTTGAGAACAGCTCCAAAAGATGTGTATATAATCCGCTTCATTTAATCACATATCTTCCTTTTTTCTGCCAATTCTCATGGACTATGAAACACCAGGGCACCAGTCCTATTTTTCTAGAAAAAAGAGGTGCTGGAATTCACCATGAACACCTCCCTTGTTCTCTTATAATGGCAATGGAGCCTACCTGAGAGGTACCAGAACTGAGTTCCTGCAGAAAAAAAAGCCCTGAGTGGCACCAATGACAGACGGGCTCCTTTGCAGGGAGGACCCCAAGCAGCCATTTCCATGGAATAACAGGTGTGTCTTCTTTCATATCCTCTGCAGTGGGAAGAGATCAGTGGGGTGGACGAAAAGGACCGGCCCATCCGCACATACCAGATCTGTAACGTCATGGAGCCGAACCAGAACAACTGGCTGCAGACCACGTGGATTTCTCGGCAGGGTGGCCAGAGGATCTTTGTGGAGGTGAAATTCACCCTCAGGGACTGCAACAGCATCCCAGGGGTGGGGGGCACCTGCAAGGAGACCTTCAACCTCTACTACGCAGAGTCCGACTCCAGCCTGGGTCCCAACGTCAGCGAGCAGAAGTACGCCAAGATAGACACCATCGCTGCTGACGAGAGCTTCACCCAGGGGGATCTGGGCGAGCGGAAGATGAAGCTCAACGTGGAGCTGAGGGAGATCGGGCACCTCAGCAAGAGGGGCTTCCACCTGGGCTTCCAGGATGTGGGCGCCTGCGTGGCACTGGTGTCTGTGCGGGTCTATTACAAAAAGTGCCTCTCCACGGTGCGGAACTTGGCCACCTTCCCCGACACAGTGGCGGAAGCTGCCTTTGCCACCCTGGTGGAAGTGAAGGGGGCCTGCGTCAACCACTCCGAGGTGGAGGCAGACGGCCCTCCCAGGATGCACTGCAGCGCAGAGGGGGAGTGGCTGGTCCCCATTGGGAAGTGCGCCTGCAGGGCTGGCTTTGAAGAAAAGGGCAACAGGTGTCAAGGTAAAAGGAACGGCTGTCTGTACCCTTTCCCTTACGCCTGTGTCGTCCACCCACCCCGTCACCTGGTTCTAACGGGCAAATCATGTGTTTTGTAGAACTCGCCATTTGCTGTAACAAGCCCTTACTGCATATGTGCACCCAGGGCCTTTGGGCTAAGATATGATGGCATCTAAAGGCACCTGAGATTGTGGAGCCTCTCCTCTCCGTGCCAACAGCAATACTCCCATTGTTGGATTTTTCTCTCTTGAGTTGTGGAATCCCTGAATCATTTAACAGCCATCCTTAAAAATATTATGAGACTGGACATGATCTCATGCGCTGCAGTCTTAATGAGCCTGCAGATGTAATCATTTTCAGGATCAGCAAAAGCAGGAGAGTCTTGTCAAGGGGCTTGGTTAAATTAAAATTACAATAATTTAGAAACACTTTTTTTTGAGAGAGAGGGAGGAAGTGGAAGTGGATTTCTTCCAGTCTTTGCTCTCTTTGTTGATTTACCCACACACTCTGAGGGCAACTGCCCTAGGTCCACCATGTGAGGCTGACACATCGTCCATCAACTGCCCAGCTCCTCCTGTCAGGGTAACCAGAAACCTGAAGGGTTTGCAAGGTGGTTTTTACCCCTGCCTGGTGTCCTTGCTTCTCGCAGTTGATCTCAGTGCTCCAGGCTTGTAGGCTGCTTTGCTTTGCTTCTGCCTTGATGCTCGCCTTGCTTTACTTCATTTGGAAGTGGGTCCAGAACCTAGGCAGGAAGACAACTCTGCCCTTCCAGATGTGGTTGGTTGGACTCAGATTTCTGCTGAGCTCCATTCAGCCCCAGCCAGTGATCGGCAATGATGGGAGTTGTAGTCCAGCAACATCTGGCCTAGAATGAAGGTGCAGGGCAGTTTAGGGGACTTGCAGCATTTCCTAAGGGAGGTGGAGTTGGGAAGGGGCAAACGGGGTGTTGTCCCTCAAAGTTATTCTAACTGGTTGAGAGTTTCCACAAGTCTTATCATTGGGCAACTGTAGATGAGGCATTAACTCCAATGACATATTTGGAGAAGCTTAAATTATCCCAGGGCAAAGTGGTGATTCTGGCCTCAGGGCACCCCAAGTCCTTGGCAGGTGTTGGGCAACAGCCAGTTCTAACACACAACTTTGACACAACACTTACGGGTTGCCAGGAAGGCTTGAGAAAAGCACACAGTCTTCCCAGCCCCTCAAATTGGTAGCAATCCTTTTTTTCCCCAGTGGAATGTGACTTTTGTGCATTTTACGGTAATTAAAAATGGCTTGGCCAGCCCACCCCACCCCTCTCATTTCTTTTCATGACTGGCCTGGATTTGTCTGCAGAAAAACTGTGTTTAATAAGCATTTTTCAGTTTTGCATATTTGGCTACTTGGGAAGACACTCCTCATTTCTCTCTTTCTTTTTATTTTGACTTCTTCCAATTTGGGATCCTGCTTGCAAAACCCAAAGCACCAGCAGTATTGACCGTCTCCTGGTGGGTTTTCATGCCCTGCTTTGACCTTGTGGAGATGATAGGTGTCTCCCCCCCCCCCCCCCCGCTCACCTCCCCTGCTCCATGCAGCAGTTCCCCCCTAATGACATGATCAAACACCCCTGACACATGTATGCTAACTAGGGCAATTTCCTGATTAAAGAAAGTTGATTAACTGATTAAAACTGCATATATTTGAATATGAATGAATGAAAATAGCCCTGAAAGAGAGGCCCATTATTCCTTCCACTTTTTTTGGAGGCTATATCTAGGAGGTTTGAAGTGGGGTTGGAAGAAGGGAGGGAGGTGTCCAGTTCTGCATATTGACAAGCTAGAATGTATGCAGAAGAGGGTGGCCAAGTTGATCAAGGGTCTGAAAATCAAGCCTTGTGAGGAACAGTTGAGGCATATTTAGCCTGGAGAAGAAAAGACTGAGAGGGGATACACTTGACATCTTCAAATATCTGAAGGGCTGTCCCATAGAAGATGGAGCAAGCTTTTTTTCAGCTGCTGCAGAGGGTAGGACCTAAACCAATAGAATCAAATGACAAGACATGAGATTCCAACTAAGCATCAGGAAGAAGTTACTGATGGCATGAACTATTTGATGAGAAATGGGTTCCCTTGGAAGGTAATGGACTCTCCATTGGAGGTTTAAAGCAGAATTTAGATGGCCATCTGTCAGGGATTCTTTAGCTACGATTCTTGCTTTACAGGGGGCTGGACTAAATAATTATTGTGATCCCTTCCAAATGTACAATTCTGTGATTCTGTTCCCATGATCATGAAGTGAAGTCCATATCCTGAGGACACTGGCAAAGCAGGCATTAGGTGCCCTGATGGTGACAGCTCCTTCACTAGCTCAGCAGACCAAAACATTTCCTGCAGTCCATCTATTTTCACAGTTCTCTATAAAGATTGGCATATGGAACCTTTTGTGGAAATGTTTGCATGATATTGGTTCAGCTGTTTACTGTTTTAAAACTTGTCTCAGTTGGCGAAAGCAGCCACCTTAAGGATATGGCGAGTTTATCCCGCACTCCCCCCCCCAAAAAAAGTTAAGAGGAACTCTGTGACTGTGTGTTTGCAGTCAAATGCTCCTCTGTGCTTATTTGGGTCTCAAACCTCACCCTGGTTCCCTTGGAATGTAGGGGGCGATGAGTCTGCCTAGCTTTGTGGCTGCTCATCTGCTGATCTCTCTCTTTGCTGAAGTCACTGGCTGTGCTTGGATGTTACTCCAGTGAGTGGAGCTTCATGATGAAGTACAGTGGTACCTCGGGTTACAGATGCTTCAGGTTACAGACGCTTCAGGTTACAGACTCCGCTAACACAGAAATAGTACCTCGGGTTAAGAACTTTGCTTCAGGATGAGAACAGAAATCCTGCTCCGGCAGTGCGGTGGCAGCAGGAGGTCCCATTAGCTAAAGTGGTATCTCAGGTTAAGAACAGTTTCAGGTTAAGAACGGACCTCCAGAACGAATTAAGTTCTTAACCCGAGGTACCACTGTAGATGGAGAAGCCTCCCCTCCCTTTTGAGTTCTGAACTCCCACCTGACTCTGAAAGATTCAACTTCGCTTATTGACAACCCATGGTTTAGCATGTCATCTGAAGTTGATAAACTGTGGTTAATCTTAATTATAGTTTTAACTATGGCTAGTGCAAAGGAGCCAAGATCATATCATACATGGTTTACACTAGCCATGGTTAAGACTAACCATGGCTCTGGATGATTTGTTAAGCTGCAGTTAATATAAAACAGAAGCAAGTCTTCTGGTCTTGTTGCAGCTGTGCTGGAGGGGAGGCACACAAGCCCCAGAATAGGATAGGGTCATTCTCATGCTAAACTATGGTTAGCAAGCTAGCCCACTGGGCCTTCCATCATTGGCTATGGGAAGAAGGCGAGAAATGGTTTCGCATCCTGCTGGGCACGTACTTTTGTGAATCTGGAGCCCTCCAGCACAAGAAGCAGCTGACAACTCCTGCAAACGCTGCCCATCTTTCTCACACCCTTCGCTCAGCAGCAGCAAGGAGACTTCCAGCGAAGTCCAAGGTTAATATTTATCAGCTGGGTTTCTTGCAAATGAGACAACTTCAACCAGCCATCAAATTAATATGATGGAGATCCAGTTCCAAAAATAACTGTCAGCCACTTCTCCTTGACAGAGGCATAAATTGGTGCTGCAGGAGAATTTCTATTACAGCATGTTCCTCTCTGGCTTTGACAGCAGTGGTGGGAGGCTGTGCTGTGTTAATATTCTGCTGGCTTTATGGCAGGCAGGCGTGGCTGAGGAAAGTGGCCGCTTTGCAGGGAGCCTCTGTTGCAGAGGCAATTGCCAGCCCTGTGCCAAGAAATGAAGAGATAATTTGTTGGCTGTGCCTCAGGCCTCTGAAAATCTTCTGAGCAAAGGTAGTGGAAGAGCCTGAACTCATTTCAGGGTGGACTTGGAAAGAGGCTCAGAAATTAATTTCTTTCCTTTGGGTTAGGGAAAGGAGTTCTGCATATCAAGTCCACCTTCTCTGTGAGAAGCTCTTGGAGGATTTGCCCCTGCTGTTAAATTTGGCACGAGACAGTTGGAGGAGGGGGGAGAAGGAGGAGGAAGGATCCTGCCTCTTAATGGCTCCTGTGCCCATTAAACCAGGGGACAACTTTAATTGGCTGATGGATTCTACAGAAGTGTCCAGGAACATAATTAAGCTGCATGGTGTAATTGGGGTTAATAATAATTAGGCAAGATGGAGTGAATGGCTGTCTGGGCCCTTCTGTTTCTCTCTCAAACTTGACCTTCAGTAACTGATAGCAGTCTGGAACTGCATAATCCTCTCTTGCAGAAGCCGGTGTAGCTGAAAGGCCCTGCTAGGGCAAACCAGGGTTTGTCTGCTCTAGAAGTTTGCCTGGTATCAGTATTGAACTCTCTGGTCTGTAGTTTCTGCACTTTTCTCTTTTTTGCAGTTAGGGAGTGGAGGACGTTCACCCATCTCCACTTCTCAGGCCATTCTCAAAGGCTACAGTCAGTGGCTTTGAAATATCATAATAGCCACAATCTGCTTTCGCAACTGAAGGTGCAATTCATCTGGCCCTGCAGACTTAAAAATCATTTGTTAAAATTATCAGTATACTACCTTGTCTTTCAAAGGACTATCAAGGCAGTTTACAGGGCAAAAAAACCCAGAGCATAGTATAACAACAAAAACCATGTAATTTATAGTAGTCTGGTTTCTCTAACCATCTCCCTATTTATTCTGGGCTACAAGACCCTCATTGTGTCATTCCTTCCACTTTCAAGACCAAGGCAGAATCTGGAGCTAATCTGTGGTGATTTGTCTATCATTCCATCTCCTGCCCCTCTCCCATCTTCCTCTCAGCTCCCCTGGTGAGATTTCCTGGTCAGGTTCATGGAGCTTGTCTTCTAGGAGAAAAAGCCATTCAACAGCACCTGCTTCCTTAGGCCCTGTCTTCACAATTGTGTATGTGTGCAGATTAGACAGTGGAAGAAGAGCTGTCTGCTTTCTCTGTGTCTGCCAGATGGTTGCAAGAAAGGCACCCCTGCGACTGTGGAGCTTTCCCGTTTTCCCTTCTGGACTTGGCAATGCATGAATTGGCCCAGCCAGTTTGTGTGAACCACAACTCTGCTTGTAACCATAGCTGCTCTGATCCTGCAAAAGTCCAGTGGCCTGTCCCTTATGGAGGAGTTTCTTGCATGTCCAGACAATGTCAAGCCTATCCTGATGTTTCAACTGTGTCGTTCATTGGAAGATCAACAGGAGCTGCAGCTCAGGCCTCATGCAGCTAGACTGTGGACTCAGAACAGCTGAAAGAGCCACTTCTCATCTCAGAATTGCATGAGTGATGTCTGCCACCCGAGAACTCTGTAATACCAGAACAGAGGAATTAGGGACCTGCTGCTCACTTTTGCAGCATCTCACTGATCCTGCCACTTTCTCCCTCTTTATCTCCTTGGCGCATCCTCCTTCTCATAGAGTCCCTCAAGCCTCCTGCTTCATTATTGTGCTGAGCCACATATTACATTGCCTGTCTGAAATAATTACGGGTATGGAAATCACAGCAGAGGCTCACACAATTTTCCCCCTGACACTTAATTTTCAAGGAGACAACTCTGAAAATTACAAGCATTGCTACTTGTTTTGTGCAATCCTTGTCAAGCAAATGGAATCTTTGGCTGCCCTGGGGGGGACCCATTTGTTACACAAGCGCAGGGAGTAAATGTAGTTGGTACCAAGTGAGAACAAAATTGGTAGGTGATTTTCTTTGGGGGATTAGACCTATCCACACCAAGAGTTTGCTATTTTCTCTGCCATGCTACATATTGTATGCAATGACTTGAAGAGGCAGAAGGAGAAGTTGCATTTTGTGTGTGAGCTTCCTCTCCTGACATTTTGCTGAGAACTCTGTGGAGAGTGATGTGTCTATGCTAGGGTTGCCTGATTTCTCCCATAACCAGAATACCCCAAGCCAGCCTTCTGCACTAACTCTCCACAATTAGTTTCGCCTGTGTAAGGTCTTGGTAGAATGGCAACGAAGATGCATTATCTAGTAATTTGTCACTGTGATGCACAGTTTTACAAGGGACAAACCTTAAGGAGGTTTTGCATTCGAAAATTTGGAATGTATAGCTGAAAGACCACTGCCTTCTCTACTGCTCCGCGGAGTTCAGTCTTCACGCAGGGCTGGAAAAGTCTTCTGCCTGGAATCCGAGAGCTGCTGCCAGCCAGGGTAGGCAGTCCTGAGCAAGATGAACCTATGAGCTTCATGTGTTCCTCTGGGTGCAGCAACACTTTCCCCAATACACCTTTTAAATATATTCCCCTCTTTGCAACTCGTTGCCTGTTTTGTGCTGGGTTCTTCCCCAGAAATGGCTTTTCCCTTTCCCTTGGCCTCAGCTTTGTTGCCTCTTGCTGTCTCCTTTCAGCCTGCTCTCCTGGATATTACAAGAGGTCTGCTCGGATTCTGCGCTGCTCTCCCTGCCCTCCACGCAGCTTTACACAGCAGGAAGGTTCCACCTTTTGCTTCTGCCAGGCGACCTACACCCGGGCCCCTTCAGACTTGCCGTCTGCACCCTGCACCCGTAAGGCATCCTTTTTCTGGTAGTAGAGATTGCAAGGTTGGCTCATCTATCAGTGAGGGGTGCTAAGAGGCATCCTCAATCACACAAGCACCTTTGCAAGCAGGTGTGTGAGTGTGACCAATGGGGGTGTGGCTTTTCTGAATCTTGGGCCTGGAGTTGCAGAATGCCATGATGGCATTGCATTGCATGACAGCTCCAGAGGTGGAATAGCAAGAAAACTAGTGGCAAAATGGCCACCTGTTTTGCTTATTTAAAAACAGGGCTCTACCATTTTAAGTGCCCTTTGAAGTTAGGGTGCCATGCAACATCCCCACCCCTTGTCGCTGATATGCCTAACCACTGTCTTGTTTGCAGGACCCCCATCGGCACCTGTGAACCTCGTCTACCGCTTGAAGCAGTCCACCCTAGTCCTCGAGTGGAATCCCCCAGTGGACTTGGGAGGGCGCAGCGACATCTCCTATAACCTCCTGTGCCTTCACTGCTCCCCCTCTTCTCAGTGCACACCCTGCGGCCATGGGGTGAGCTTCGTGCCCCAGCAGAGGGGCTTGGTGGGCAGGACAGCCACCCTCATGAACTTGCTGCCCCAGGCCAACTACACCATTCGCGTGGAGGCTGTCAGTGGTGTCTCAGGCTTGGGTAGCTCATCTGAGCAGCCATATGCAGAAATGACCATCTTTACCGGGGTGACAGGTAGGAAAGCAGGTGGGGTGTTTTGTGGGGGGAGGTATTCTCTCTGCTTGATGTGCCTGCCTTTCAGCCTACTGCTTATGAAATATTTTATGATCTATTTATTTAATGCATTTATATATTTCCTTTGAGAAGCCTAAGGGGACACACGTGGTTCTTCCTCCTTCCTCATTATTCCCCACAACAGCCTTGTGAAGTAGGTGAGGCTGAGAAGCAGTGCCTGGCCCCCAAGGTCTCCCAGTGAGCTTCATGGCTGAGTGATGATTCGAACCCTGGTCTCTCCCAGGTCCTCGTTCGACACTTGAAACACTGCGCCACACTGGCTTTCAAGACAGCTTGTGGGTGGAGGGGAGAGAGATGGCCTCAGAAGTAGCTGCAAGTTATCTTGAGAAACTAAATACTGATCTTGTGGGGGTGGGGGAGGGAAATCAGAGGTTGAACCTGGATTTATCTACCTGGCCTCTGCAGGGCCCTCACCACTTTTACCCTACACTCAGTACCTATTTGCAGGGCCACAACAGGGCAGCAAAGAGAGAGGGAGAAAGAAACTGTTCAGAGTTGCCTTGAGTTCCTCTCTGCCAGGAAAACAAGGTCATAATAGATTATTAATAGACAAGGTTGGGCATTATGGGGTGGGAGCTCATTGCCCTCTTTTCAGCTTAGTGGGGCCCATCCCTGAGGCTCACCCCACTGCTGAGCCAGAATCCTCCTATGGCCTATGTGAAACCAGTTCACAGGCAGGGTCAAACTCCTTATGAAACATTTCTTCAGGTCTCTGCAGAGCAAGAGATCAGAGTCTTCATTGGAAAGTGGATGAGAAAGCAGTGGGTAGCTGTTCAAATCAGGGTTGAAAGAGCCTGTGACACAACCTCTGCTTTCTCAGCCTGTTAGATAGCAGTGGGGGTGGCGAGGGGAGAGATTTGGTTTGCACTTCCTGGAACAATATGTGAATTGAAATGCAGCTCCTTTTCAAAATTTGCTATGCCGATCTTCAACAGAAAGGCTGGACTCGCATCCTGCAAAGCATCTTAAAGTGATTTCACAACACAATAAAAACATATATTTAAAAACGGCATAGCTACAAAACCTATTTCAAGTCCAATATTAGTGAAAGTGTTATGCAAATACGCATTGGAAGAGATTCCTTTCACTAGTGTGCCTCTGCTTGGGGAAATGAAATGCTGACAAACGCTCAGGCTTGACATTAATAAATTGCAAACTGATGTGGAGAAAGAATGAGAAGCTGAAATAGGCTGTCCTTTGCCCACCCTGAAGGCTGCAGCTGCCCAGAGTGGCTGCGGCAACCCAGTCAGATGGGCAGGGTACAAAAAATAAAATTTATCATCATTTTCCTCTGCCACCTCTCAAAGCTAGGTTCACTTGCTCTGTTTGTTTCCTTTCCCATCCATGCTCCTATGCTGTCCTTTTCCTCCCTCTTGGTTGGCTTCTTAATTAAGGAGAGCATTGGTGTCCCAGGGAGCCGAAGTGATCAAATCAAGCCATGGGGTAGTGAATAATTTAATGTTTGCTTTTCCGGGATATGGGCAATGTGGTGGGGGGGAGGGGGAGGGGGAGGGGTGTGTGTCTGAAATATGAATGAGCACAGAGTGTATTTACAGCAGTAGTTCACAGCATGAAAGCTTGTGTGGTGGTTTTAGCCTCTTTAAAAGAGCTTGCATGCTTTCTGCTTTCCAGCTTGTTGGCGTATGTCTGTCTCAAGAGATAGTGGAGCGCACCTCTGTGGGTGAGGTCAAACCCGATGCGTTAGCAGCCCCAAAGTGACCTCTCTGGGGCGCAAGCCTGGGCAGTGTGTATGGAGGCTCTGGGCTGCCCAGACGACAAGACTCCCCACTTGGCCATGCTGATGTGGTTCAAAGGAAAGCAGAGCAATACGTTTGGCACCAGCTTGGCTGCAGGAGCTGTCAGAAAGAGGCATACGAAGCATCATCCAACTGTCTTAGGGGCTCCACTATAGATTTGTATAGGGTTTACTGCAGGGGTCAGCAAACTTTTTCAGCAGGTCCACTATCCCTCAGACCTTGTGGGGGGCCGGACTATATTTTGGGGGTGGAAATGAAAGAATTCCTATGCCCCACAAATAACCCAGAGATGCATTTTAAATAAAAGCACACATTCTACTCATGTAAAAACACGCTGATTCCTGGACTGTCCACGGGCTGGATTTAGAAGGCGATTAGGCCAGATCCAGCCCCCAGGCCTTAGTTTGCCTACCCATGGTTTACTGTTTAGCCTTTTCTTGACCCAAAGGTGTCCCACAAGGCAGTGGAGGTTTAGGATCAGAGCTTATCTCTTGGAAGGGCTACCTTCCCAGGTTGATGGGCTCCCTCACCCCCTCACTTCCTTCTACAGCATGTGCAGAAACAGCCTTCTTGACTATTGGGCTACTATTGGTTTCCTCAATCCTTCACAGCTTGTCCTCACATGCAGGGGAAGTCCCTAACTTACCGAGGGTTTGAAACCCATCATCTACCCTCACCTGGTTTAGCCGGCCAGCCAAAACCATTCCTTGGGTTTGGCCACTGTCACATACTGACAACGTCCAGGAGCCACAGCTGAGAGCTGAGTGCAGAGTGGGGACCAAAGGAGGACAAACTACCCCAAAAGGAGCACAATGTGTCCCCCACCAGAGATACTACCCCTCCCCTAATACCCCGCACCCCACCCCATGCTTTCTAGATTCTCTTCAGAAAATTCTGTTCCTTTTCAGACTGGACTTTTGGAGCCTTCCAGCACTTTGCTCCCAATCCTGGCCCAAATAACTTTGACTGGCACTAAACTTGATTTATTTATAGGAATAGCAAACTGGACTAGGCTTGTGGGTTATGCAAATTGCCATTCTGAATAATGGTTTTTATGGGGTTGAATAGGGGGAGGAGTTTATGGATGTAAGGGTGCAGTGAAAAAGTTTGGGAACAACTGTACTACAGCTTCATGGCAAAAATAAGGAGCCCTACAGGGGCTGCCTAAGGTCTTGTGGGCCAGTCATGCCCAGGCAAAGCTGCTGGTGACCCACCTGCCTTTCTTCTCTTTGGCTTTCTTAGCCCAGAGGCTCGTCACTGACATCCGCGCTGAGAGAATTGAGCAGAAGAGCATCTCCTTGTCCTGGCAAGAGGCCAGCGCCCTGAGTGCCAATGACACAGAATATGACATTAGCTTCTATGAAAAGGTAACTGTTTCAGGAGGGGTGCTGTTGTCTTCAACTCTGAAAGGCAGATCCCCTCATTTTCTGCACTGGAGCTGCTCTTTGGGGCATAGTCTCTCCCCGCACCCCCACCCCACCACCCAGCACTTCCACCATTGCTGCTTATAAGAGTTCAGGGATGGTGAGAAAGAATATGGAATCCACACACCAGCAGGGTGGAGAGGGACAGCACCTCCATCTCTGCTTGACTTAAGCTAGTTCCTGGTTTGTTTCTTGTTTATTTACAGCATTTCTGTACCGGCTCTTCACCAAATTCTTGAGGCTGTGTACATATTAAAAGACACAGCAATATACACAGTAAATATGTTATTTTTTAAGAAAGGAAAATATAGCTGTGCGCCACCCCAATTTCCGAGCAGAGAGAGACCCTGGGGGTTCCAGGCTCTTACCCAGGTTCAATTTTCTTGGAATGAAGGTTGGCAGAGACAATGTCTTTAGGATATGTGGTTTTATTTACACATATATACAACCTGAGCATAAGATGGAGGGGCTTTCAGCATCAACACCCCAACAGATCTTGCTTCTCCATTAGTCACAGCTTTGGATCCAGCACAGAGCAAATATTTCACTGTGTCTCCAGATTCCACCTTGCTTCTGGCTCAGCTCATACACAACCTCTGGCTATTGTTTCCCTACCTAGCAGCTGGATTGGGGTGGGTGGGTGGAGAAAAGGCTCACCCATTAGCCTGGAGGGCACCATCACTTAGTTGTAGCTCTCACAACCTAGCTGATTCTTTCGGGATGTTGATGAGGACACTTGTGGCCAAAGAGACTTTTCTGACCAGTTCAGCTATAGAATCTTCTATTAGATTTTAACCCTCATTTGATACAGGACTCCAAGAACTGGAAGGGACTCAGGGCATCATCCAGACTGACCCCCCAAACTCACAACTATATATAGAATAAAATGCAGCTGTAGGAGGGCAGAACACAGAGCCCTTTCATTTTGTGGCCTGCCTTGGCTGGGGCCTCCACATACAGCCTCTTGGCTGAGAGTGTTAGACCTTAATTTAACAAAGCCAGACATCTGTGTCTTTTTCTTGCTGATTTGATTTACATTTGGCTTCTAGCAAAGCCCGTCCCAAGTGCCTTCTCCCTTCTTAACAACCTAGAGTGGAGCAATATACCAATCCTAGAAGAATGAACTAGTCTCTTCTCAGATCTGGGGAGCAGCATCTCACCCCTAATCTGAAACTCTGGGGTCCCACAGGGTCAGAAAGAGCAGAGCTACTCATCCCTGAAGACCACCTTCCCAGCCGTGACAGTGGACAACCTGAAACCCAGCACACTCTATGTGTTCCAAGTCCAGAAGACGTCTTCCGCTTTCCAGGACCACGGGAACTGCAGCCACAGCATTGAGGTGGAAACGCTGGGGGAGAGTGAGTGTGCAAGTGTCTCTGGAGAGGCTGCAACAAAACCACTTGGGAGGCTTGCACCCTCTGTGACTCCAACTGGCTTACCCTTTACAGCTCTTACCTGGCCTAGCAGCCCCTCAGTCCCCCAGTGAACAGGGAGGGGGGTGCCGAGAAGGCCAGGTATCAGCTTAATAACTCTGCCTAGCTGGAAATGAAAGCACTGGGGTGATGCACCCAGCAGGAATTCTACAGGCTGTGTTTAATGGGGCTTTAAATTGCATCCATTTGCCACACAAGATGCTTTTGGAACAAACTGAATTGAATAAAAAATTTCTCATAGAATGTAGCCATTTGCAGAAGCCAGAAAGCCAAGTCTTAAAGTGTTGAAGGAAAACCACTTTGTAAGCCATACATTTTAATGCCTCTCTTCTAAAGAATATTTCGTTAATGCTGCCTAACAGACCATGAGGCAGGGGGTGGGAGGATGAAAACAAGCTCCTGGCTGCTCGCCCACAATGCTTTTGCACTGCCCTTTGACCCATTCATGAAGTCACTTACTCTTGAAATTAAATGAAAATAGCAGAGGAAGCAATAAGTACCGTAACTAGTTTATGCCAAAGAGAGTTTCCAGAGGTAGAGGGAAATAAGTCTGCCTGGATCAAAAAGAAGCGGGTAGGAGAATTAAATCCAAAAGTCCTAAAAGGCTCTGACTTGGATTTCTTGATGTATCCAGTGACTTTTGCCCACTGTGAGTTTGCCCAGAAGTCAGTCCTTGGTGGCAACTGGATTCCTTTCCCACTCCTTTAAATGCCATAAAAGCCCCTTGCTAAGAAACTTCTGTTTCGTGGACCACCAACTACAGCAAAGTGGTCTTGGTTTCCAGGGAATGTGCCTGATCTTTATTTATAAAAAATATTTGTGCCATAAAAATATATATCAAAGCTGTTCACAGCAACAAAACCGTACAATAAAAACTATAAAAAGTTATAAGCAGACATCAACTAACCATTATGAAGGGATGTATTCTTAACTGCCTGCATAGGCTTGGCAGAATAGGAAAGTTCTCAGAAGGAGAGACATACAAAGATGTCTCCTCTCCCAAGGTAAGCAAGAAGAAGGCAATGAGGAAAGAAAGTATGAGAGTATCAGTCTAGCACCCAGGGGAAGGTCAGCACAGGTTAAAGGGCAGTCTGGGAAGTCTGGAGGTTCCTCTTATTCTCTGATTTCTCCCATGTATTCCAACACTTCCAATAGTCACAGCTTGCAACAAGGAGTGGGAGGTGAAAGCTCAGCACCGTTTCTACATCTCCATCCTCTTGGGACTTAGGACCAGGCTAGATATGGCTTCCGTTGCAGGACTAGCAGTAGCATTGGGAGATTTAAAAAATTATGTTAAGGCTGCAGCATGCAGGGAGGGGCGTTTTATCACCTCCAGTCCCAGCTGTGATCCTGACAAAAATGGCCTCTTTGACAATGGGAACTTTTCACCATAAAGCTAACTAGGGCATGGGGGTATTTCCATCAGGATTACAAGTGGAGAGAGACAGAAAAGCAGAACTGTGGCCCTAGGCCTAGAATTGTACAGTTGTACCTTGGTTCTTGAATGCCTTGCGACTCAAACGTTTTGGCTCCCGAACGCTGCAATCCTGGAAGTGAGTGTTCCAGTTTGCGAACATTTTTTGGAACCCGAACGTCCAACGCGGCTTCCAATTGAGTGCAGGAAACTCCTGCAGCCAATCGGAAGCCACGCCTTTGTTTTTGAACGTTTTCAGAAGTCGAACGGACTTCTGGAACAGATTAAGTTTGAGAACCAAGGTACGACTGCATTGTTAAAGTCTCCCAGCATTGCTGCTTGCCAGCCAACAACACAATTAAAGCAAATGTCCTAGTGAGGTTGCCTTTGGCCCTTGAACATGCTGTTGCTCAAGATGAGCCAGGCCCTGCTGCTCTTGGCTTCTGTGGGTCTAACTCCCATTTCCTTCTATTTCTCCACCCCCAACTTCTTCCTGCAGCCACTGCTGTCGCTTTCCATGAGCAGAGCCCCATAGTCCTTGTGGTCATTGTGGCGATTGCTGGGCTGATTGTGTTGGTCTCTGTGATCCTGGGCATCCTGACCTGGAGGAGGTGAGCACGTGACCATCCCATGTTGCCCACTCCCTCCCACTCCTCTGCTAAGAGGTTGCTGAGTAGGGCAGCTGGAGCATGATCATACTAGCTTAAAAAAAGACAAGTGAGTTGGGCTGAGGACACAGCTCTTTTTGGGACTCGACGCCTTTCTTCACAGCTTATATTGGGGCTTTGCTTGAGGCCACTTCTGGGGCAGGTCCTGGCTGAGAAGGTATAATGTGGCTTTTGCTTCTCCCCCTTGCAGGCAGTGTGACTACGGCAAGGCCTACCGGGATGGAGAGGAGGAGCTGTACTTCCACTGTGAGTTGAAGGCAGAGGGAGGAGAAAGGGTAGGAGGTTTCCCTGCTACTAGTGATGTAGGAGTGGCAAGAGGCTCTCCTGGAGTCCAGCTTTGGAGATGAGCTACAGTGGTACTGTTTTAGACTCCAAACATGACAGCCATCCTGGGCTTCCCTCCTCTCCTCTCTAGACTGACTCTGAAGTGTGCATTTGCAGGGCCCCCTCTTCATTCTGCCCAGGCAGATGCCCTAAGGAACTGCTCCTGCAAGGAAGCCTCCAGGGCCTTGTGAGGCTCTTGTTTTCATGTACTCGAAAACGGCTGCAGCTTGCCAAGTGGGCACATCCTGCTCTGGGTTAAGCTTCAGCAACTGCTCTGAGCTCCACAAACTGTGGCACTGGAGTGGTAGAAGGAAGGCACCAGAAATGCATGCTGGATTCAATACTAAAGCTCAGGGCAGATAAAATAAGGCACTTCTCCATGCAGCACATAGTTAAGCTAGAGAACTCCCCCAGGAGGCAGTAATGGCCACCGACTTGGATGCCTTTAACAGAAGATTGGACAAATTCATGGAGGAGAGGGCTATTGATGGCTACTCATCATGGTGGCTATGCTCTGTCTCCATGGCTGAAGGCAGTAAATGCTTCTGAATGCCAGTTTCTGGAAACCACAGGAGAAGAAAGGGCTCTTGTGTGCAGGTCCTGCTTGCATGTTTCTCATAGGGGCATCTGGTTGGCCAGGATGCTGGACTAGAGGAGTCATTGGCATGATCCAGCACACTCTTCTTATGGTCTGATGTTAAGCTACAGCTTGGTCCTGCAGAGGACTCCAAGGCAGATGGAACAGAGGCCATCAACAGTCGAGTAGCAAAAACGTCTGATTTCTTGGCTGTATAGAAAAGCAGGAGACCAAACAGTAGGGCTCATGAATTTCAGACCCCCTCAGAGGGTCCAGGCCAAAGGCAACCAAGGCCAGTGGGTGAGACTAATGGTACCTTTTCTCACCAGTTCCAAACCTTCCTTCAAAGTGTCTCCAATGCAAGTTAAATACTTAAGTTTGCCAAGGCATCAAATATAAACTGATTTCCTTCATAACTTGCAAGTTTTAATACAGTCACTTACAGGATACTTTCGGTAAGTGGTTAAACTACAGCATTGCTCACACACATATCTACCTGGTCTGTACAGAGATGTCTGTGTTCCAGCCAGGAAGGAACTGTTGCTATGTATTAACTCCCTAGAAAGATGTTAAATGAGACTGGTTTTCCCTTTTCCCTCCAGTAAGGAGAGAGATCCTGGCTTGTTGTCTAAACTGCCACATTAGTGGGTTTCTTTGAGGTCCAGCCTCAAAAGTAGCTTTATTCTGGATGAGTGACAAAAAGGGCTGGACATGGAAGGCAGGTTTCTACAACGGTAAAGACATAGGGAGGGGGCGGATGGCAGGAGCAGGGGAAAATATTTGTTTCTTGGCTGGATTCTGCCAGGTTGGGGAAATTTGCAGCACCTCAATGTTGGCAAAAGGCCTTAACGCCATCTCTGCTGCCCCATTGTAGTCAAGATACCAACCCGGAGGATGTATGTTGACCCCAAGACCTGTGAAGACCCCCTACAGGCTGTCTCTCTCTTTGCCAAGGAACTTGATAGCTCCAGCATCAAAATGGAAAAGCTGCTTGGGACAGGTGAGTGTTGTGGATCCAGGCCCTTTGCTTTTCAGTGAGCCATGCTTCATTGTGCTGGGGAAGCAGCTGTGCACCTATGTGGGAGCCCCTTGACCTGGAGAGGCCACAGCCCTGCTGCTGTCTTCTCCATATGTTGCATGCCCACCTCCTCTTCTTAAAGAACCTAGGAAGCTACCTTGTACTGAGTTAGGTCATCAGTCCTTCTAGTTCAGTACTGTCTACAATGATAATTGTGAGCACTGAGAAAAGTATGTTGTGATTGCTTAAGACCCAGCATGGGATTCTCAAAAATAAGTCAGGTCAGACAAATCTCATTTCTTTTTTTTTTGATGGAGTTACAAGCTTGGTGGATCAGGGGAATGCTGTGGACATAGTGTATCTTGATTTCAGTAAGGCTTTTGACAAAGTCCCTCACAATATTCTTGCGAGGAAGCTGGTAAAATGTGGGTTGAACAAGGTAACTGTTCAAGCAGGGGAAGCCTCCAGGGAACCTGAGGATAAACTGTAGGAACTGATTGCATATAGTTAGGTATTAAAAGAATGATTCCCAAATGGGGGCAGTGGGATTACCTTGGGCGGGGGGTAGCAGGGGAGCACTGGAGTGTGAATTTGACTTTGAAAAGCTCATATCACTGAATCAAGTTAAATTAGACTTTGAAAAGCTGGTATCACTGGATCAAGTTAATCAGGTTTGTTGAATTAATTAAACAGTTTTAATTAGATTTTGAGTAAATGTGCAATTAATTGTTAGTGTTTTCAATCTTATTGTGTTATTTATTATCTTCCTTAGTGGGTCATGCAAACTGCTACTCCGAATAACACTTTTTACATGGAAGGGGGCACTGGGGATGCATTTATGGAACCAAGGGGGCAGTGGCCCCCAAAAGTTCAGGAACCACTGTGTTAGAACAGTTATGGGCCCTGAATCATAAAAGGCGATAGATAATTCAAAACAGCACAATAGCACAAACTAGATGAAATTTAAGAGAAACAACAACAATGGCATTGGGTCTTCTCCCAGAGCTGCAGCAGCACCCCACCCCACCCCTTTTCTCCCTTTCTCAACTGGCACACGCCAACTTTTCCTTTCTCTGCCATTCCTTGCTGCTAGAACTTTTCCAATAAAAAACCCTCTGTAGGAAGCCATGAGGGACTGCGGGGGCCTCATATTTCGGCAGTGGCTCCCTTTCCACTTTCAGAGTCCGGGGGGAGGGTGCTGTTGCATATGGATTTCTTGCTTACGCAGAGAGGGAGTTTGGTTCTAACGCCGGGTCCTTCTTCCGGGCAGGAGAATTTGGAGACATCTGCCAGGGGTGCCTGAAGCTCCCCAGTAAGCGGGAGCTGCCTGTGGCCATCCGGACCCTGCAAGCCAGCTGCTCTGAAAAGCAGGTCCACACCTTCCTCACTGAGGCCAGCATCATGGGCCAGTTTGACCACTCCAACATTGTCCGTCTGGAGGGAGTTGTTACCAGAGGTAAGACGCACTTATGGATTCTGCCCATTTGCATGCCAGAAGATGGTGCTTCCTTCAGAACGCCAGGCAGTCGTTCCTTGCATAGCCCCTTGAAGCGCCTGTGTTGCACACCTTCAAGGGAGGTCCAAGACTGTGTATCAGGCACTGACCTCTGCTGCCTTGCCAAGTGTATGTTGAGAAGATGCACAAGCTTGATTTCAACTGTGTGTGTGTGTGTGTGTGTGTGTGCGCGTGTGTGTGTGTGTGTGTGTGTGTGTGTGTGTGTGCGTGTATGGGGAGGTGGCTCTCTTCCGCATTTGTATTCTGGAACCTCAGGCTGCTCTACCTGGGGTTTGGGATTATTTCCAGGCAGTGCCCCTAACTGTTCCTGCTTGAGGGCATTGGGAATCTCCTTGCTGTGGTGATGCCTCTTCCTTGCTAAAATGGAGGTGTGGTGTGTTTGTGTAAAAAAAGTCTGCCTTTTGTGTGTATAGAATGTATCCTATTGCCATGGGCGTAGCCAGGATTTGGGGGGGGGCCTTTTGTTTTTTTGGGGGCAGAATCTGTTAGCTATGTATTTTTATTAATTTTTATTGATTAAGGGGAGCAGTTGCCCCTGCCTGCCACCCCTTGACTACGCCCATGTCTACTGCACAAGGATAAAGGGTCACATTCATTGCCGTGCCCATTACTAGTATGCAGCCCCAAGACCTAGGAGGGAATGCAGCCCTACAAGTGAGAGAACCTGCTGCCTTTTTTCTCCTGTGTCCCCCACCCATGGGGAGCAAAGAATACATTTTTCTCTCTTCCATATCACTAGAACTCATGGACATTCAATGAAACTGAAGGTCTATCGAGGCCTACTAGATGGACCATTGGTCTGATCCAGCAGGCTCTACTTATGTTCTTAGAAAATACGGCTTTGCATTGAGGCAGCGGTTGCTGGTCTTCCTGCACATGGCACTCCTTCTAGGAACATGGTGTACTATGCATGAAAAGCAGCAGGAGCCACCAGGTTTGATGTTTAAGGGCATGCTGGCTTCACACTGTGAGGCAGTTCAGGTGGTTCTGTGGACAGCTTACACCAAGGAAAAGTGTGATCAGGCAGGCAAATGCCCCAATGCCCTCCCTCTCCTTAACAGTCATTAAGGGACTGGAATAATTACGCACTTACTTGTGGCCAGCAAAAATGAAAGCAGCCGCTGCCTGGCTTGGGTTTTTTTTGTGTGTGTGTGTAGCTGCAGTTCTGCCTAATTGCCTGGGTGATTTAAAAGCCATCTCAGGAAAGTGACTGTCCTGTGTGAAGGCAGGGAGAGAATACTGATGGTTTTCTTAATTGCTTGCAGTGGAGTCAGTGGTGGTTAATGTAGTTTAGAAAGACGATTATCCAGAAATGCTGGGACTACACACTCTGGAGGCCAAAGGTTCATTTATGTGTCAGTTCCAGCCCACAACATTAAGATGCTTAGGGATTCTGTAGCTAATTTAATAAGCTGGGAAGCCAATCTCACTGCAAAGGGTTCATTGAGCAGCTGGTCTTCATTCATCAGGCTAGTCCAGAGAGAGGGGAGTTTTAGGGCAACAGCATAAGCAGGTGGGCAATTGCTCCTTGCATGGCATCGCTCCATGGAACTGCCTTACTGGGACCAAGCAATTGCTTCCTCCCACAAGGGCGCTTCAAAGGTAATGTACTCCAATTTGTTACTAGTGCAGGAAGTACAGCACTACAACACTGCCTCTGTGTGAACATGCATGTGATGTTGCTACCAGCGCATGATTAACAACTTCCTGACCTAATGTCACAGACCGAGCCCTCTGTCTCATCCAGTTGGTTTTCAGACAGACAGACAGACACAGAGACTGGATTCTTGTTTCTCTATGTAGGGAACCCGATGATGACTGTGATGGAGTACATGGAGAATGGGGTGCTGGACTCCTTTCTGCGGGTGAGTGAGACCTTTCCCTGATAGTGGGATGAGCTATATGCCAGCCACCTGCCTGGTGGAGTCCTCTGCTGATGTGCCTGCAGCCAGCCTCATGGATCTTTCTCTTCCCACCCATAGCGGCATGAGGGGCAGCTCATGGCTTCCCAGCTGATTGGCATGCTGCAGGGGATTGCCTCCGGGATGAAATACCTGACTGAGATGGGCTACATCCACAAGAAACTGGCAGCACATAACATCCTGGTAAATGGGGAGCTGGTCTGCAAAATCTCTGGCTTCAGAGTAGGCCAGGAAGAGAAGATGGAGACCGTTTTCAGCACGCTGGTATGTATTTGGGAGGGGGCAGGAAGAATAATAGATCCTTGGAAGGGACACCAAGGATCATCTAGCCCAACCCCTTGCAATGCAGGAAGCACGGCTGAAGAATCCCTGACAGATGGCAATCCAACCTCTCTTTAAAAACCTCCAAGGAAGGGAGAGTCTTGGAAGACCACCTTCTGAAGTAGTCTGTTCCACTGCCAATGGTGGTGGATTCTCCTTCATTGGAGGTTTTCCACCTGTCAGGGAAGCTTCAGCTGTGATTCCTGCATTGCAGGGAGTTGGACTATATGACCTTTGGGGTTCCTTCCAACTTTATGATTCTGTGAACATTTTAAGTATCAAAATACACACCAAAGCCTTTGAATGACACCTTCCAGATGCCACCAGGATGAGCATTTTTGGAGCATTTTGATGAAAGCAGAAGAGAAGGCAGGCAGCGGATATACAGTAAGCTGTATGTGCAGAGGCATAAGGGGAGCACTGCAAGCGGCATTGGAATCACCCCTTGGTGCTTCCTGTGCTTTGAATGGGGAAGCCCTCCTGGCTTCCCTGTTCTTTCTCTTCCTGCTGCTGCTGTGATCTTCCTTGATGAAAGACATTAAATGGGTTGTGCTGGGCAAGCGACAAGCTGCCTCATGAAATATTAATTGTAAACCATCTAGCAGGAGAACTTAACTATTGCCTGAATATTTCAGGACTTCCCTTCCTTTCCCTACACACACACACACACACCTTGCTTTGAGCGTTAACTAGCTCATTTTAAATGAATTTGGGACAGAGTTTCCCCTGAGCAATCCAGCTGTGCTGCATGTGCAGTATAAAGGCCAGCTTTCCGGTAGCAGGTGGGGAAGAGAGAATGGAATGGGGATCTGGCAGCAGGAAAGACCTGAACTTTGTTTCTCATTTTGTATTTTTATGCTGTGAACAACCCTGTGATCTTTGGATGAAGGACAGTATACAGATTTAATACATAATAATGATAACGAGACAGACGTGTGAGTGTGGTGTTTTCTGTGGAACAACAGAATTGTAGAGTTGGAAGGGATTCCAAGGGTCATCTAGCTCAACCCTCCTCAAAGCAGGAAACAGAGCTAAAGAATCCCTGACAGGTGGCCATCCAACCTCTACTTAAAAACCTCCAGAGAAGGAGAGTTCACAACCTTCCAAGATAGTCTGTTTCACTGTCAAACAGCTCTTATCATCAGAAAGTTCTTCCTAATGTTTAGTTGGAATCACCTTTCTTCTCATTTGAATCTCTTGGTTCAGGCCCTCCCGTCTGGAGCAGCAGAAAACAAGCCTGCTCCATCTTCCTTGAGACCACCCTTTAGATATTTGAAGATAGTTATCATAACACTTCTCAGTCTTCTCTTCTCCAGGCTAAACATACCCAACTCCTGAACTATCCCTCGTAGGGCTTGGTTTCCAGAAATTTGATCTTCTTGGTCACCTTCCTCTGCACATTCTTCAGCTTGTCAATATACTTCTTAAATTAAGATGCCCAGAACTATGAAGGTACATTTTTTCACCTTTGGTGGACGTGCCCTAAGATTAAGGCTTTCTGGGAAATGATATATAATGAATTAAAAAAGGTATTTAAATATACCTTCTTGAAGAAACCAGAGGCCTTTCTCTTGGGCATAGTCGGCCAATCGGTGTTAAAAAAGGATAGAACTTTCTTTATGTACGCAACAACAGCAGCAAGAATACTCATCGCAAAGTATTGGAAGACACAAGAGCTACCCACACTGGAGGAATGGCAGATGAAACTGATGGACTATATGGAACTGGCGGAAATGACTGGTAGAATCCGTGACCAGGGAGAAGAGTCGGTGGAAGAAGATTGGAAGAAATTTAAAGATTATCTACAGAAACATTGCAAAATCAAAGAATGTTAGAGTGATGATGGATTGAAATTAAGTGGTTTCTAGCTGCACAGGCGTTAAAGTTATATATAGACTAAGATTAAGGATTAGGCATAAAAAGGTTAAAAGAACGGAAAATTGGCTATTAATAGATAAGAATTTAATGTTATACCATATTAAGATTAAGGATTGGGATTAAAAAAGAGGGAAAGAAATTGCTGGACAAACAAATTGAACTGGAATACAAAAGAGGGAGGTACGAGGAGGTCCAGAAAATAAGTAAATTCAAAAGTGGTGATGAAAAGGTGGTATTGTTTTTAATTGTTTTTTCTTTTGTTTTTCTTTTGTATTTTGTATTGTGTATTCTTGTATTGTGTATTTTTCTTTTTACTTTTAATTCTCTTTTACTGATGTGTTCTGTTTTTATTGGAAACTTTAATAAATATCATTTAAAAAAAAAAAGATGCCCAGAACTGGACACAGAACTCCAGGTGGGGTCTGACCAAAACAAAATAGAGTAGTACTAAAACGTCCCTTGATCTAGACATTATAAATCTGTTGATGCAGCCTAGGATTGCATTAGCTTTTTTCGCTGCATCATCACACAGTTGACTTATGTGATTCATGTTAAGGTTGTGGCTTACTAAGACCCAGATCCTTTTCACATGTACTTTACTGCTAGCAAGTCAGGTGTCTCCCAGCTTATATTTGTGCATCTGGTTATTCCTGCCTAAGTGTAGAACATTACATTTGTCCCTATTGCAATTAATTTTGTTTTTATTGTTACTTATTTTCTAGTCTTTCTTCAATGCCTTTTCTTTATGCATGTCCAGGGTGGGAAAAACTTGGTGCTGTGGTTGGCCCCCGAAGCATCCCAGTACCACCGTTTCAGTTCAGCCAGTGACATGTGGAGCTTTGGCATTGTCATGTGGGAGGTGATGTCCTATGGAGAGAGGCCTTACTGGGACATGTCGAACCAGGACGTAAGTGGCTCCCCAGTCTGCTGGAGGTGGTGGTGTGGACGAGGAGCGGAAAATGGGCAGGCCAAGACTCCCTGGGCCTCTGCCTCTCCACTACTCTGTTGTGCTTGGTGGTGGGAGGGAATGTGGTGGGTGTGGTTGTGCTTTTGGTAAAGGTTGCAAGCGAGAGCATCCTACCACGCTCCTGCTGGGTGTGGCTTCCATCTCCAACAATTGCTTCCAGGTGATAACAGCCATCGAAGACGGCTTCCGGCTTCCTGCTCCTGCAAACTGCCCACAGGCTCTGCACCAGCTGATGTTAGATTGCTGGCAGAAGGACTGTACTGAGAGGCCAAAATTCTCCCAGGTCCATAGCACACTTAGCAACATGCTTCAGGCCCCAGAGCTCTCGAGAAACAGCATCTTCACCTATGCCAGGTGACTGCATTATCCCTGACCCTCCCCCCTTGAAGCCCATGTAGAAAACAGCAGTGACAGAGGCTGTATTGACACACATCTGAGCTTAGGGGGAGGTGGAAGGTGCTGGGGCATGAGACCTTCCTTCCTGTGATGTCCCCACATAGCTTCTCTCTCTTTCTTTCCAGGACTGCCAGCTGCTCCCTCCCTCCCTCCGACTGCCCCTTTTCTTCCTTCCCATACTTCAGCTCTGTTGGGGAGTGGCTGGAAGCCATTGAGATGAGCAGGTATAAGGACAGCTTTGTGGCTGCTGGCTATTGCTACCTGGATTCAGTGGCCAGGATGACAGTACAGTAAGTGAACCTCCCCTCCTCTAGAAGGATGCTGCCAGCCAGCCACACATAGGCTTGGCTACACCCAACTATAGCCCCTTGTAAGAGGGAAGGGCCCAGAGAGCAGGGCGGCAACCTGGCTCTGGGGGTGGCTTCAGGCTAACCTGAGAAAGCTGCTTCTGCTGCTGCTCCTTGGGCGGCTTTCTCTTTTGAGTGGTGGCAGCTGGGAGTCTGATGCACACTTCCTGGGCCTCCTGAACAACTGACATGGCTTATGGTCTCTCAGAACTCTCCTCAGGGGAGTTCTGCTGTGCTTTGCACCCAGTTCCCACTTGCTGGCTCTGGTACTGCTGAGGCACTCCTCACCATTCATCCGCCTCTATCTGACTGCTCCATTTCCCAGTCTTAGTCACTTGATGGGACCAGATGAGCTGCTGTGCTCAGACTGACTCTGGTATGGAGTGGGCTTCTCACTTTTTTTTTTTATTCCAGAGATGTTCTGAGCTTGGGGATCACCTCTGTGGCACACCAAAAGACTCTCCTAAGTGGGATCCAAGCGCTCCGGGCTCAAGTGATCCAGATGCATGGCCACGGAGTGCAGGTGTGAAAGCAGGGCAGCGGTGTGTGTCTGCAGAACCAACCTGAGCTGCCCACTGGCCCTGGTGAGGCCACGTCTCTGAGACTTTACCTGAGAGCAGAGGATGTTGGCAGCTATGTCTTGGAGACGCAGGAAGGTGGTGGGAACCAACTGCCCCCTTCCATGGGAGGCCCAGAGCGACCTCTCTGCAGCAGCTGAAGAGCTGCTCTTTTTCTTCCCCATCTACCCCAATGGCACCTTGGAGAGGAGACTGAGCAAGAGGGTCTGTTGGTGATCCTTAAGCCCCCTGAGAGTCTGAACTCAGAGCAATGCATCTTCTGAGAAGCTGCCAATTATTGAAATTTCCTCAATGGGCAGTAGAGTGACTGTTTCTCCAGTGAGCCTCCTTTCCCAGCCTCCTTCCATCACTTCTGGGGCAGATGGGAAGACTGCACACTCCACCTCTACCTGGAACGAAGGCTACATGGGCAACAGCAGGAAGATGCACAACTGGGAACAGGTTTACTGCAAGACAATGGGCTACTTTGATGGTACTGTGTTGATGCCAACCTTGTCCATTATGGTGTCTCACCTGTGCACAGCCAGAGAGAAAATCGGTTAAAGGGTGGAAGGATGATGGTTCCTGCCCTGGAGATCCTTTCTCAGTGGGCAATGGAATCCTGCCTCACATGCTGCTGAGCTCCAGCCCACTCAGCTCTTGAGTGCCAAATGCTTGCAGCAGTCAATTCTGATGGCATCTCTTCCTGAAGTCATTAGCCACAGACACCTCTCTCTCAGACTCCCATTGCTCCTGACTCCTCAAAGCAGAAGAGCCTTCACAGGATGCAGAGAAAGTATCACAAGCTTCAGCTGACTTAGCTGGTCTCTGCAGGACAAGCAGAATTCAGGAGTCCTTCCCTCGTTCCTTATCTCAGCCAACAGCAAAGCTGCAGGTTAGCATACCTACTTGCGCTCTTGGAGGCCTGGACCATAACAGCTCCTAGCACTTTATTGGCTTGGGAGCTTGCATTGGGTGATGGGGAGATCTCCCCAAACTCTGGACCAAATGAACAGAGCTGATGGGAGGTGGAAGCAGAGGCAGGCCTTTAGGCTGTCCTAGATCAAGGACCTTTCCTTGCTGGAAATTGGGTTCTTTCCCAGGTCATGAGTTGGAGACAATATACGTTGCAGGCAGCAGGATAAGAAGCATTTGTGTGTGCTGTCCAGCAGGTGGTGGTTTGAGCCATGATGGAACCCCCTGGCTAGTCTTCAGAGGCCACACTGGGCACCTAGGCAGGTATCCTGATGCAATTTTGAAGGCCAGGCAGGGACTCCTGGGAGAGCCAGGCTCCTCTTCCTCCTCCCATGCTGGTGGGTTTTCCCCTTCACTGCCCACTCCTTTGTCTCAGTGTGGCATTTGCCAAATAGACTTATGCTTTTAGAAAGACTAACTTAAGTGGGCCTCTGCAATCCTCCTTTGTTTGGGTCCACAGCAGTTTACTGTATGCTTATCAGTGTACATGGTTGTTGTTTTTCACAACTCCATAATTATTGAAGACAGACAGATTTGAAAGGGAAAGGAGCCCAAAGGAGAGGGCTCTCTTGCTCCACCCATCAGTGTTCCCAGCTCTGGAGCACAGACAGTGGGCATACTGCTCTGAAATGGCACCATCGCACCTCACGTGGGCTGCAGCTGACATTTCTTTGTGGTGGGGATTGTGGAGATCCATGTCCTTCCTTGCCAGCGGTGCTTTGGAGAAGAGGCCTCCTTCCCTCAGGATGCCCACCTCTTCAGCCCAATACACACAAGCTATAGAGACTTCAGACTCAAGGGAAGCTGCAGGTGAGAACTCTGAGCAATGCAGAAACTCACAGCTGTCCCTTGTTCTAGAAGAATACAGGAAGAGCTGATGAACGTTGGGAAGGAGAAGACCTGCTCTTTTGGGCAAGCCAACCAAGTACATGCCCTAATCATTGGCTCCACTCTTGGCTACTGAAAATATTAGTGCCTGCTGGACTTGAAAGACAAGTGGGTGGTTCTCACTTGCCTTGCCAGCCAGTTGGTCCAGATCCTCTGTGGAACGACTACCTTCCCTTTATGAGGCACCATCTCTCTGAGACTGTGCAACTTGAATCTTTTTGTTTGATCTAGAGAATAATATATTTTAGAGCAAGAAATTGAATCACTTGATTCCTGTTCACCTCACCAGATGGGGAGTTTGGGTGACCTTGGGCCAGTCACTGTCTCTCAACCTAACCTACCTCACAGGGTTGTTGTGAGGATAATATGGGATGGAGAACTCTGCACACCACCTTGAGCTCCTTGGAAGAAATGTGGGATATAAATGCAATAATAAAATAAAATAAAATACAGTATGCTTGAATTAGCTGAAAGACACATGCATGGCTGTTAATGCAGTGTTTCCCAAGAGCAAGAATCCTTCACCATTTTATGTGTTCCCTAGCAAGCACCTTGTCTCCATAGTTTATTTTTTACCTGTAAAGGTGAGCTAGGAAGGATCTAACTACACAGAGCAACTCAAGTTGCAAGTTTCCTACGGAAACTCTCTATTGCCATGGAGAGAGGAGTAACTCCCATCTTCTAGTCAGCTTGTTTGGGACCTCCCGAGATCACAAATGCACAACTTCCTCCAGTTCTAATCAAATCTTCACCCACTGATTGGTCACTGGGAATGCTGAGAAGGGTGATATGCAACAAGTCATGTAAAACTCCCACTGTAGCCTAAACCCCTTTTTTCTTTTATTAAACAGAGGCCTCTCCTTTGGGGCATATCTCAAAATTGCTTTCCCAGGACAGCTCCCTTTGTGCAATAAGCCTCCCCAACCCTTCAAGTCTAATATGCCCTCGCATGCTAGAATCCCCGAGTCTGCCCATGCCCTAAAAACAGTTCTGTCTCTCCGCCAGTTCCCCCCTGGGCTTCAACTCCCGCCCCAGTTTCTCCCATCTTTTCCCTCCCTAGAATTCTTGAACTCCCAGGTGGTGTCCATCCTTGCGCTCTCTTGAATCACCACCTCCTCTGGTGCGCCTGACACAGAGTGGAAGGATGTATGAGAGAAGGAGTAATTCTCCCTTCTTTCTCATTGAACCTCTCTCCTTACCTTTCTAAGGCTGTGTACCCACTCCTGCTTACTCTGCATCCAGTGCATTCCCACTGTTGGTTTGGGAAGTGGGGTACACACTTTAGTCACAATCCATAGCTATCCTGTATCTTAAGAAAATACTGTGTTTTGATGCAGTCAGCTTAGATTCAAATTGAGAAAAAGAACAAGCCTGCTGAGTTTTAAGCTGGTAATGTTCATGCTACAGTGAAGTCATCCTGGGCAACTGTGCCATGGATTCACTCTCAAGTCCTCTTTCTCTCTCCCTGGGAAGCCTTCCCTGGCTTACTGTTAATTGCTACTTTGTGGTATTTTTCTCGATAAAAATAATTCATGGAAAGTTTCTGCTATCATATCCTTTGCTTCCTTGAATACTAAATGACCTGAATGTTAACCCAGCTTGGGTGTCTTATATTTTGGCTAAAAAGTGCCAGCTCTGGACTAGCTTTAATCAGACTGACAGCAGCCTGTTCTCTGCAATGAAGCCCGGATCACATTGGAAAACAGTCTCCTGGCACAAGATCAGAATTAAATTCTCTCATGAACTGTGTTTGTTAGCTTTTCCAAAGGCCCCTCAACAGGTCAGAGGGAAGAAGCTCTGAGCACTTCATCAGAAACAGCTGCTTGGGAGTGTGCTAATAGCACAAGCTCCAGGAGGCTGCTTGCTCCGCCCCAACAGTTGCTTGCAATGATAAATGCTCACTTTGTGCCATATCCGAAATAGCTCTGCAGCCAATGTACACATCCATCACGATGCTCTGCAGAGAGGCAACAATTGAAGTCATTATCTTACCGAAGGTGGCTGTTTGGTGCTCAGTGTCAGCCACAGCTCCTTATCTTTCTCATTATGTTTGGAAGATTAAGTGTTTCAGTTCCCATCATGAATTCCGGAGCCACAAAAAGACATATGGCAAAGTGCATGCATTGCTTATACATTGGAATGGCAAGGAATCAGTCTAGATTGGGTTTAGCTGGATGCATTTTCCTCCATTAATAACATTATCATATTCCTGTTGTCTAGATACAGTCACACCTCCTCAGTTTACTCACCCACATGCTTCTTTATTTTGCAGCAGGAATTAGGCTTCCGGGTTCTTGCTGTTCCTGCTATCAACATGCAAGTATTATGGAAATTGAGAGGGAGGCGAACTCTGGAGCCAAAGGAAGGCTTTTGGCTTCTCTTCATGCAGAAGGTTCTAGACTCAATCCTTAATGTTTCCTGACAGAGCTGGTCAAAACTGCTGCCACGTAGTGTAGACAAGACTGAACTAGGTGGGCCAATGGTCCACAGCTATATTTGCACCACAAACCAACATCTAGAACATTCTCAGCTCTTTGGCTGGGGAAGCCCAGCCAGATGGGCGGGGTACAAATAATAAATTATTATTATTATTATTTGGACTCCCAAAGACTGTTATCAAGACTGCAAGGTAGGGGATGTGCCTGGGACAATTCTAGATGTGCCTGGGACAATTCATCTTGGTAGAAAGATGTGAACTTTGAATCTATAAGATTTCATCCTTCCCCACCCTGTGGAATGAAGGGAGGGAGGAGGGTGACTTTGGCTTTACTGACAAGAATGCAGAGCTGTGATATTAGGAGGATGAGAGCAAAGGCATGCTCATGATGGTATCTGACAGCTATACAAAATCCCGCTTTCAAAATTGCACCTGCAGACCTTTCAGGGTGAACGTACTGCCTCGTTCCCAGTCAGTGCGGGTCCTGTAATCTCTTGCTGAAATCCCACTACTTTTTATACTATGAATGCTCCACTTTTGTTGGGTGATAGTGCGGAGTCCCAGTTCTGAGGGCAATAATGTGGCAACATTTGGGGACGCATTGCAAAACACAGAATACTGTAAAATGGCATGTGGATGGTCCGGTATAAATATGCCACTAATGCTCTGTTTTTGCATCAGTGCACAAGTCTCGAGAAACATGGAGAATGTTCACAATGAGGGGCAGGAGTTCCCTAGTGATGCCCAGATCTGTTTCTCTGCAGCATCTGTGTGTCAGGAGTGGCCCAGAAAAACCTGGCCCAGGGCCTGGGCTTTGTAGTGGGTTGAATGCGGCCCAATAGGTAGATTCTGAATCCTGGCAACGGGTGGAGGCGCTGTGGGCGGATCCCCAACTCTGGGCTGCCTGCTTTGGGGGTCCCATTGCAGGAGCAGGAATCATAGCCTGGGATGCTCCTGGATCCATTTATTCACTTCGAGCAATTTACAAACCTGGCCTTGAAAGAGGGAGGAAAGGAGCGCTCTGCACATGCTCCAAGGAAGTGTGGTCTGCGTCGCCAGGCAACAGTCGCATCGCCGCTGCCGTGTCGCCATGGCAACCGAGAAAGAAAGAGGCGCGCGAAAAGCCCGTTCGGTCCAGCCCCTTTCCATCAGCTTCGGAGCAACCAGCCAATCAGAGGCTCGGGAGAGTGAGTTGGTCCAATGGAAACTCGGCGGGAGGTGGCAAAGCGCGCAAGTGCAGATTGAAAGAGAGAAGGGACTACATTTCCCAGCACACCCCACTCCCCACCCAGCGGAGTCCAAGGCCCGAGCGACACTCGCGTAGCGCCGGCGAGGAAGGGCTGAGGTAGGTCCTTGCCTGGCAGCAATAGGCTTTTGTGCCGGAGAGAAGCAAGTAGGTCAGGAAAGCTGTATTGTCCCTGTTCACCACCACCACCACCTCAGTCCAAGGAAGGCAAAGCGCTTCCTGTGCCATCTTGGGGCGGAGGGAGCCGTGTCAGCTTCACCTACAAAATGCCGAATATTTTCGGTATTTAAATCCTCCTATCAGCCTCGTAAGGATTTTCTAGGCAGGTGCTGGTGAGGAATAACATGTTCAGAAGTCTTGAAAATTATAAATTATATGAAATATTTTTTTTTTAAAAAATCATAAAGTTTAATACACCACTTGATCGCAGAGAAAACTAAACCCTTAAGGTAGTTTAGGGTGCAGGAGAAAACACGTGGCAGTTTGCTGCCGACTTGGTGGAGAAAGGAGAGCAAACAGGTTAAAATAGAAAAGCAGCGCTTCATGAACTTGCACCAGGGATTCAAAATAAATAAAACCAGAGCAACATTAAGGATGCAGTTCTCTGGACACTTGCTGGGCGGTGCCTGACATCTCTGCTGCTCACCCAAATGCCTGATGGGGATCAGAGGGGGTTTTGCCAGCCTGTGGAAGGAGGACCTTCTGCGTGTGGACCTTCTGGGGCAGAGTGTTTCAAGCCTTGGCAGCCACTCTGGAAAAGGTCCTGCTGTTTCTGCTGGATAGCATAAAGGGAAATCAATCGCTTAAATTTGGGAGTGTGCTGCATTGGGCACACTTGCAGCATCCAAGGCTACCAAGCTGATCAGCTTTATTCTTAGAGTGTCATGCAAACACTGAATGCTCCAGAGACCCAGCCAACACCTCTGGTATGATCAGTGTCCTGACACCTAAAGTGACTGCTGGATGGCTCTTCAGTGGAGGTGGCAAAGTTGTCATTCTTTGCTGCCTTCAGCACTACTTGGCAGGCAGAATTATGTAAACTACCAAGCACTCGGTCAGCTTTAGTACAAGTTTCCTGCCTTCACTCTGGTCATCTACCAACCGCCGCAGCTCAGTAAACAAGGTGCAGAGCAGACTCTGCGACATCAGAGGGGACTCCTGGGAGAGCAATCGTGTCAATATCCCATCTCACTGCACCACCCCACGGTGAGACCCAGGCTTTGACTGTATCACCAACTCCATCCACTGGAAACCCACACCGTCCCAGCCTGCCAAGCATTCAGGAATCTACTAGGTTCCATTAATCTCTGGGGGCAGACCATAGAATTGCTCTGCAACCCCTGCAGAGTGGGTCTGCTGCCCAAAGTTCATATGTTCTGGCCATGACAACAGGGTTACCATCATCCTTCCTATATCCTCACCATCCCTCTCCCTGCTAAGAGTGAACCCTAAATCAAGTGTATGTTGGGATGAGCAGATGGCAATGTGAGGCTTTCCATGGAGGCCATGAAATCCTGAGCTGGCCCTGAAAAGTACCCATGACGATAGCTTGGTGATGGAGCATTATCTGCTTGTAGCAGTTAGGCTGTGCTAGCATTGCTTCAGAAAACAGTATTAAAAAGCACTGTAAATGACTGGCATGATAGACTGTGGCTGAGAAGTTCACCTAGGAAATCCACTCAGCTATAGGACTTGAGAAGGAAATTTTAAAAAATGAAAAATCAGAATTCATTTATTAACTTGGTTAATAGCATGAGGAAATCCCAGCTAGCAACCTTCAGCCCTTCTAGAAAAAGGCAGGGAAGATGGGTTTGTTCTCCTCAAAGCTTTACCTAAACTCTGAGGGATGAGGGACATAGTTGGCACCCTCCTGGTGTTGTATTAAACTAGGATTTCATTTTAAACCAGGTATTCTTTTTAAAAAATGATACACAGTAGTGTGTGTGTTTGTATGTGTATGGTTTTGAATCAGTTTTGATTCAGCCTACTGCTATGACTTAACTAACTTGTTTTGAGTCCTGCAAACATGTTTGATGTTCTGCAAAAGGAAATATCTGCTTTGTTTTTGATGCAGATGTGTGACAAGCCAAGTGAGGGGAAGGGCAGGTTGAACCAAGCCTGGTGTTGCTGGAGTCTTGTTACCTAGGCTGCTTCTTGACCTGACTTCTGTGTTTTGTTTCCAGGATGGCTTCTGGGGACTCCAGTTCCCTGCACACCATTCACAGTGCCCTGCAGGAGTGTTTCCGTGCTCTCCAGGAGCAACACGAGGCTTGGAAGAGAGTGCTAGCTGCCTGCACACCTCTTCTCAGTTCCTTGGCCAACCTGGCTGAGCAGATGCAGGCCTCCCAGAAGGTCTCCTTTGCCAACACCCCCTTGCGAGACTTCCCAGATCTGCCAGAGAGGCTGAGGCACAAGCAGCAATGTGCCATGGAGGCTTTGCTGGAGGTGCTGCAGCAGGACCACCTGTAAGGGCATCTGCTTTGCATTGTGGGTAGGGCAGAGGGGAGGGGGAATTGCAGCTCTCTGGGTCATTCACAGTGTGAAAAAAGTTCACGTCAAAATTATTTGGTAGGAGGCAGTTTTTTGCAGGCATGAACAATTCTATATTATTACTCTATAACTTAAAACTGTGGCATCTTAAAAGTACATCTAAATTTATTTGGGTTAGTGTCAGATCTTAAGTTAATTGAACTTAATTCCCATTGAAATAAGTAAGTTCAGCTGACTTTGTCTAGCTCCAGTTAGTTATTTATGTAGCACTTTCGCAGTTAAAAAAAGTAGTTTCATGTTTTTACTTATTTTCATAATAGCAGCCCACATGGGGTAGCTCAGACTGGCTTCCCTTGGCTCTACCCAGTGAGCTGCCCAAGCTCAGCTCACCATTCCCATTGCAACAGTTTGAATTTAGGTAAGACCTTTGTTCAAATTAGCAACGTTTGCCTTTTGCTTAAGTTGTCTACACAGCTTTTAGAGCAGGCATAGGCAAACTCGGCCTTCCAAATGTTTTAAGACTACAGTTCTCATCATCCCTGAGCACTGGTCCTGTTAGCTAGGGATTATGGGAGTTGTAGTCCCAAAACATCTGAAGGGCCGAGTTTGCCTATGCCTGTTTTAGAGAATCAGCCAAAAATTTCACATCTCCAACCTGAGCTTGGGCAGCAGAGATGCGCAGGCCAGATTCTCACCCCGTCTTAAACTTGTGCAAGGCCCTTCAGACAAGATGGCGGAAGTGCAAACAAGAGAGAATGTAACAATGTATGATGAAAGCCAGTATTAGCACACTTAAAATGAACCAGTAGTTTCTCTGGGTGATTGATCTCTATGGAAACCACCCCAGAGTGTGACATGAGTGGTCTTTGTTTTATGTAGAATGGAGCTCCAGAAGGTGAGGGATACTGTTGGGGTCTGTGTGGACAGCGTTTTCCGGCTCTGTGAGCAGCCAGGAGATGGCCTAAGCCTGGAGACGACCTTCCAGCGCTCTGCATCATGCCCCTCATTGGCAGACATGCTGGAGTGGCTTCTGGATGTTGAAGAATTTTACCACCGTGTGTATCCTTTGAAAGAGTTCTGCATCTGCAAGGTCCTCCTGTTCTCCAGAAACAGACCTTAATTAAAATACTTATCTATGCAGCCTTTATGTCTGTCTTGAAAAAGACCCCCAAGATAGCTAACAGTTCAGTTTAGCAATAAACACTGAAACACAAGCCAGTAAAAGAAAACAACATTAGCACACCAGAATCCTTGTTGCCTCCAGCTCTGGATAAGATGCCTCACTGTTGATTCAGTTGTCACTTGTGAGAGTTGCAGGGCCCCAGCCCCAAGGCCATTCTCCCACAACTTTTCAAGCTGTGCAAGTGTGGAGGAGGCAGGTTTCGAGCCTTCTGCTCCCAGAAACACTCTCCTTTCCTTCCATGGAGTTCAGCTCTTCTCATCGCCCCTGAAAAGCTCCTGTTGAGAGCATCTGGCAAGATGTAAATTTACCAAATAATCCTGTGCTGGACTGCTCTCATTTGCCCCTCTGATTTGTGTAGCTTGAAATGAGTCTCTGTCATTCCACTTTGAGCTGGCTGCTTATCTGTCCTTAACACCTGAAAAGATACTTGGGGCTCAAGTTTCTCCTCCTTCAGGTCAGCTACACGAACCTGATGGAGATGCAAGCTCTTCCAAAGGCCTGGGAGCAGGTGCTACAGCAGGGCCTCCAAAACACAGCAGAAGGTAATGACACCAATGTGGAACATGTCTTTGGCGATGAGGTGGGGTCAGTAGCAGACACAAACCCTCAGCTTCTAGTAGCTGGATAGAGGTATAGTACCATGAATATGGAGGCTTCATGTTTGGGTATCTTAAATGTTAATACTGGGAGAGTGTTCAGTGCACCTTCACGTACACTGCCTTGTTGTGATCCTTACACCATTCCTGCAACATAAGGCAGTGAGCTAGTGTTGATGCAGGGCAAGGGTTCATGGCAGAGGTAAGATTTTGATGGGAAAGTCTTAGTCACTGGTTAATAGACACCAACAGGCCATCATTTGTGAACAGGTGCACAAACTGAACCAATATTGCCCTATAGAAAACGACAGTCCTTTGCACCTGCAGTATCCCTGCTTTGAAGTTTTACCCATGACCTGTTCCTCACAAAGAGCCCTCTTCTGATCTGTCTCTCAGAAGTGTTGCTGAAAGTCTCCTTCTTTCTGGAAGCTGTGTGAGGACATGGAACTTGCTCATCTTCCCAAGAGAGGCCAGCTTTCCTGGGACAGCTCACCACCATGTGAAGAGGCCCAGACCTTAAACAGGGCTGCTTTTTGTTCGGATGGAGCTTCCCAGCCCTGCAGTCAGAAAATGCACAATTCTGGATCCTGCTCTGTGTGGGGACCTGGGCTGGTGCTGGCCCTCAGATTTGAAATGAAGAGTATGTGAAAAAGTATCTGGTTATCATTCCTTATTGAGCCACATGCCACCATTTCTGGTAGGCGCCTCTTTGTAAATTAAACTTGATGTCACACCCTTGGAGTGCAAAATGTCCCTTTTCTTGTTGTGCCCGTAGCTGTCCAGAGTGGAGCAGCTGCAAGAAGCATAGCCTGGGTCAGGGTCTGTGGGCTAGTTTCTCCAGAAGATCAACCAGGTGTCCCTTTTTCCAAGAATAGATGCACGTAGCCTGGCTGAATATGTATTTAGCCACAACAAAGAGGCAACATTTCTACATACTCTAATGACAGTTGGTCATGGCACCAAACAGAGGAGAAGTAATGTGCATCATTTAAGTGGTGCTCAGAAACGAGTGTAAAATATAAGTGTTGGTGAACTGATTTGGAACAGTGACCACAGTGCTATCAAATTCAACAGATGGGAAAGAATGTCTAAGATGGAAGAAGGTCAATATAGCAATGCTGTTATAAAAATCTATGGTGCAGTTGCACCATATGCATAAATGGAAAAGGTTCAGAAAAAGGCTACCATAATGATCAAGGGGATGTAACAGCTGCCCTATGAGGAACAGTTACAATATTTGGGGCATTTTACTTTGGAAAAAAGGCAAGTAAGGGGTCTGGGGGAACTTGGGACCATCCAACAAAGCTGAATGTTGGAAGATTCAGGATGGAAAAAGAAAGTACTTCACACAGCATATAGTTAAGCTATTGAATTCATTGCCATAAGATGTAGTAACGGCCACCAAATTGGATAGCTTTAAAAGAGAATTAGACAATCCGTGTCTCCTAGCCATGATGGTTATGTTTTACCTCTACTGTCAGATGCACTATTGCTCTGAATACCAGTTGCTAGAATCACAAGTGGGAAGGGTGCTATTGCATGCAGGTCCTGCTTTGGCGCTTCCTGTGGGCATCTGGTTGGTCACTGTGAGAACAGGATGCTGGACTGAATGAACTCCCTTTGACCTCTTAGAGTTTTAGGAATTGCCTTGCAGGAGTTGTTAGGAGCAAAGATGAAAAGGGTTGTGCCTTATCCCTCCCACAGCTTTCCCCCACTTTTGGTGGAAGTTCCGTTCCCCTTGAGAAGCAGGCTTGAGCAGTCAGCTACTGTAAATCAGTTTTGTATGTATTACTTCAGTAATACTGTTAAATTGCAAAGTGTTCTGTCCCAACAGCCCTGTGAAGAAGGTTGGTAATATTTCCGTTTCTATACTGTGACATCACTGTATCTATGGAAGGAAACTATTCAGCTTTTAAAGTGTTTGTGACTGTATAACAAAATGTGATTGAGTTCTTACTGCTTCCCTGCATGCTGTGTGTCCACTTGAGGGCGCTTGCAGACCTTCCTACAGAGGGAGCGGCTGGGGCAAAGCAAAACCCTTTGCCTCTCTTGCTTGGCATATTAGGTCAGTGGTTGTTCCTCATTTCATACTCTGGTATTTTAAACAGCCCTGCTGCGCACCTGCTAGAGGAAGATCCCACCTCTGCGCAACAGGAAAAATCGCCTGCCTTCAAATATAATTGGTCTATTTTATTATTTATAACACTTTATTGTGAATTGTCTTGAAAGCTGGGATGAAAGTCATTACAATAGCATTGTAACATTACAATAGCATTGTAAACTCACCCTGGTTTTATTCTACCTCCTCTGTGCTTGTTTCTCTTTTTGCATTTCTTAAAAGGCTCCTAAAAACTTCTTAAAATTAAATAGCCCAGTGCTTTTAGCTCCTGGTCCTCCTTTACTGCATTTTCCATCTCTTTTCTTTTTACCAAATGCATTTTTATCACCCCATGTGATAATACTTAAAAAACACTAAGCAGCTTGGAGTGGGTGATGGCAGCAGAAGGTTTACCATCGCGCACAAACACACCCTTGCTGCCTCCAGGAGTGAGCAGTGCAGGGCTCCAGCAGGACACGTGACCAGCAGGTGCCTTTGATCCCCCCCATCTGGGCAATCTGCGTCAAAGCTGTGCATTCCTACGGTCATCTGGTGCTTGTGCTTGTTACCCACAAAACACCTGTCACTGTTAACATTGCACGGCTCTACTAATGTAGTGTTTCTGGCTGGAAATGGTGATGGATGGGTTTGAGGCAACACACATTAAGGCAGCCCAAGAGCATCCTGCACATCTGCTGCAAGGAGTTGTAGAGGAGCTTCCCTGCATTTGGTGTTGCGGCTGTTGAAGCGACGAGGTGTACTTCTGCCTCTTGTGCTCAGAGCATCAGCTCTCCCACTGCCTGAGTCTGGACTTGGCTGTAGCTTTCTCTTTTCCATGTGGCCTCCAAATAAATCAGTCAGAAGAGCAGCCTATTGCAGCAAAGGCAACAAGAAGCTGAAGAATGCAAGAAGTGGCTGTTGAAGTTGGAGGGTCTACAGACTCTGAAGCTAGAGCAGGGTTTCCCAAACTTGGGTCTCCAGCTGTTTTTGGACTACAACTCCCATCATTCCTAGCTAGCAGGACCAGTGGTCACAGATGATGGGAACTGTAGTCCAAAAACAGCTGGAGACCCAAGTTTGAGAAACCCTGAGCTAGAGAAAGGGAAAAGGGGCTTCTCTTTCTATGTATCTGCCCCAAATGCTTTCTGTCCATCTTCACGCATCCTGCAGAAATATGTCCTTCAGGCCAGTTGTGAGCATGGCTGTGTCATAGTAGCAAACATGCTTAGCTTGCATTCTCCTTTGCTTTGGTGGATCTGGCAGGGTTTATCACATTTGCCAGCAGTGCATGGAAATGGCAGCCTTGTCACATTTCTGGGGCCAAGCCCACAGCTGACATTTCTGGATCGAGCCCCACCCCACACAATCGCTCTGGGGCGATGTCACCCAAGGAATCATTTGTGATTTCTACTGGAGGGCCTTTTGGGGAGTGGAGGTTGCCTGAGAGGTGCCACTCACCCCAGCAGAGCAAAAGCCAAGCCCGTCTCAGACTGCACCCAGCTGCGGACCTGAAACCAATTAGGCAGGGCAGTGTGCCTTTCCGAGGCAGTAACCCAAAACCGTCACACACATTAGGCTGAGATGGACGTTGAGAAGCGGTTGGAATTCATTACAGAGCAAAACACACAACTTGTGGCGCTGAAATAGAACCATCAGGTTCCGCTCATACGACCCCTTCACATCAGAGAACTTAATAGAATTATCCCATCAGGGGACATTTGTTGAAGGTCAATTTATTAAAGACAAATGGAATCTTATAAAAACAGCAGAGTCTTGTGGCACTTTAGAGACTAATTAATTATGGTGTAAGCCTCTATATGCCATAAGAAGGCACTTTGTTGGTTTTTGCGGCAATGGGCTGACACAACTATTCTGTCCTTCTGGAAATGCCAAAATGTGGTTTGTTCCAGAGTGGCTGGAAAGGGCCAGCTGGGAAGATGGGATTTTGAATGGACCCCTCAGAACAGGCATTCCTAACCTTCGGCCCTCCAGATGTTTTGTACTACTATTCCCATCATCCCTGACCACTGGTCTTGTTAGCTAGGAATCATGGGAGCTGTAAGCCAAAACATCTGGAGGGCCGCAGGTTGGGGATGCCTGTCTCAGAATAAAGGAACCCCAAAGAGCCACTCTAAGCCACCTTCTTGGATGAATGAGAAGATTAAGCTGCCTTACTGTGAATAAGGCCATCTAGGTTAGTTTTCTTTACTCTGGCGGTGGCAGCAGCAGACCCTCAAGGACTTGGGCAGAGGGAGGCCTTTTCCAGCACCTGCTATTGATTCTCTTTAAGTCCAGTTGCTGGTTCTGGACTGGGAAGGTCCTTTGCATTCTTGGTGTGCAGGAGGAGAACGGTGCCATTTTGACCAGGGACATCTGTGTGGTGAGCTGAGCTTCCTTTTTGTTCCACCCATCTCTCCCCTTTCCTCCCTGGAGCACCCAACCCACCAGAGTACTGAAATAGGTCATGCTCCTTGTTTGACTGAGTCCCACCAGAAAGCCATTGGGGGAAACGGAGAACGAAGCCTTGGTTTGTGCAGGATTTCTGATGCTACGCATGCCCACGAGGTGCTTTCTCACAGCCTGCCACAAGGTGGAGACATCCTGGCTGTTCCTTTGCAGTTTTGCTCCTTGCCCAAAGGCAGCTGCATGTGGGCTGGCTGAAGGCCCAACAGCGGAGAAGGGAGAAGAATTAGATCTCATTTAAGCCCACTTTGGTTGTAAATAAACTATAATCACTTCAAATGTTTTGCTTAATAAGGAAAGGATGTTAACCATTAGGCAAACACTCAGCGAGCCCGTTACTGCCAGACTGGAGATACCAAAGGGGAAGGCGATTCAACCCAAGCTGTTAAAACAAACCATTTGCGGGTCTGCAAAAGGCGGGTTTGTATTTCTTTAGATCTGGCCCCTTTCCGGGTCCAAATAATCAAAATTCGCATTGGGGATGGAGGGGAGAGGAGAGTTAGTATCACTTCTGTAATGCCCCAAGGGAGAAGAGCTGCACAAACCAGGATCTGCTCATAAAGAACTGCTGATTCCCCCTTTCCCCACTTCTGTGGCAATTCCGTACCTCTCCCATCCCAAAAGCCTTTCACTAAGAACTTTAGTCCGGCTCACAAATGGGGGCAGATGACTTGCAAGGGTGAATGATGCCATTGCATTAGGTTGTGACAGAGGGAGAGAACGGAAGGAGGGCTGCTGCTCCACGGACTCTGCTGAGAGACTAGGTCTCTGGCTCTTCCTCAGCCATTACCCAAGAGCATCCACTGTGTCAGGTTGCAGCAGTGTAAGAGATGGGAAGCAGGGCTACTTTGCTGGCTCTGCTGAGAGACCAGCTGCCTTTTGGCTCTCCCTCATCGCCTAGTGGCAGCCATTCTGCCAGGCTGCAGAAGAAAGGGAACGAAGGGAAGCAAGGCCACTCCACTGGTTCTACTTAGAGATTTGGCTACTTTTCTGCCTCTGAACTGACCTATCCCAGCTGGTCCATGTCGGTACTTCGTAACTGAGAACTGGTGCTTGACTTTGCTTTTCTCCCTCTCTCCCTCCGCCTTTGCTTGTGTTGTGTCCTTAAGGACAGGAACTGGTGTTTGTTGTTGATCTGTAAGCCACTCTGGGAGCCCTTTTTGGCCGAAGAGTGAGATAAAAAAAATCTTTAAATAAAATAATCAACTATACTGTATTTCTCACATACATGTGTGCTGCATGTGTGCACTCGAAAGCATGCAAAGGGGAGCTGTTTGCAACCGGGGAATGAGAATTTCAGTGGCTGCTGGGAAGATCACCTCCAGGACTTGTCTACTGCCACACTGAGCAATGACCCTTCCAGAGTTGTCTTCTTCCTCCATCCCCTTCTCCTCCTCCATCTCTGCTGGTCTTTTTCCATCTGGCCAGCAAGAGGACCGGCTGACTCATAGCTGCTTCAGCGGAAAGTACCCAAGAGACCCTTGACCTGTGGGTGCTGCAAGACATCCTGCTCAGGACGCCTGGAGACAATCGTGGGTGGTGGTGGTAATTTTTTATGGGCTTCTATTAGACCCAAGATTTAACTTTGGTTGTATGGTTTTTTTTCCTGTTTTTGTGATTCTGTTTTTGTATTTTGTTGTAAGACATCATTATAAGGGGTTTATTTAATTTTATTGAATATTTTTTGAGATGCTTTCATTAACGCTTAAATTTTGTTACATTTCATAACTCAGTGAATTATGTAATTTTTTCCTTGCAAACTGCCTTGGCCATAGTTTACTATGGAAAAGTGGCGTACAGATAAGTTATGATGTTGATGATGGAACATTTGGCACTTCCAGGCAGATTTGTTTCTTTTTGCACATCAAAGGGAAACATTTTTCCTTCCTTCCAGTGTTGCCCATGGATTGCCACTACTTTGTTCTTCTCTGACCCTTCCACCCACCAGCATGAAGGGGCAATTGGCTTTTCCCCATAAGAGTCCAGGCACTATAACTGTCTCATCCATAGGTGTGTGAGTGATCAGGGATCTCATAGTTGCCATGGTCTGACTTTAATGGGATGCGTTGCTCATTCCCCAGAACAGATTGCAGGCAAGGACAGAAAGATGCTGTGAGGACCTCTGCCAACTCTCTTGACTTGGGTGAAATAAGCCAGTTGCACAAGTAGAGAAGATCAATAACAGCTGTAGAAAAAGCCAAGAACAGCAGCAAATAGATATGGTTCTCAACATTTTTTGAGGAAACCATTCAAGCAGCATGTTTTGTTGAGCTGGAGTAGAAAAAATTTCCCCAAGCAGTTTTTACAAGAAGCATCCAGCATTTCCCTTAACAAAAGAGCGTTCTCGAAACGCTTTGAGGACCATGTCCATTGGGCAGCTGCCTCTCCTGTTGCTGTTTTTCTGGGCTGATGAAGCAACGAACATGTGGTAGCGATTGGCGCCTGCTACTTTCTCTGACATCATGACTGAGGGTTAGAGTTGAGCCAGAAGCCTGGGAGAAAGAAGGGGGCATTTTGGAGTTGCCGGGGGGAGGGGGTTGGAATCCTGGACTCTGATTACAAAATGTTATTTATGAAGTGGTGAGCTCATGAGCAGCCCAGATACTGCCAAATTTAAAGGTTTTTTCATCTAACAGAATGAACATAATTTTAACATGAATATCCAAGCAAAGACCCATGGATTCTGGACAGCTTTATGGACACAAGCAATAAATTCTGTGCTCAAGAGCCTCTGCAAGTTGAGTGAATTGGTGGTAAAATGACAAATGCAGTTCAATGTAAAGAAGTGCAAAGTGATGTGTGTTGGGCCAAAAAAAATGTTAATTTCATATATGCACTTCTAGGATCTGAACTGGACGTGACTTACCAGGAGTCATAGTGGATAGCTCCGTGAAGATGTTGGCCCAGTGTGTAGCAGTTGTGGAAAGGACAAATTCTGTGCTAGAGATAATTAGGAAAGGAATTTAATATAAAACTGCCCGTAATGCTGTTATGCAAAACTATGGTGCAGCCACTTTTGAAACGAACTGTGTACGTTTGTGGTGGCCTCATCTCAAAAAGGATATTGTAGAGTTGGGAAAGGTTCAGAAAAGGGTACAAAAATGATCAAAGAGATGGAGCAACATCCTTGTGAGGAAAGGTTGCAGTATCTGCCACCAGGAATTTTAGAGAAAAGGTGAATAGGACATGACGTGATGAAAGTTTATATAATTATGCGTGGCATGGATGAAACGGGTAGAGAGAAGTCCCCCTCCCCAATAGCATTAGAACTTGTGGACATCCAGTGAAGTTGAATATTGGAAATTCAAGACAGATAAAAGAAAGTACTTCACGTAGCTCATAGTTAAAATATGGATCCGCTCCCACGGTAGGCAGTGATGGGTACCAACCTGTATGGCTTTACAAGAAGATTAAGGAAATTCAGGGAGAAGAGGGCTATCAATGGCTGCTTGCCATGATGATTATGCTTCTTCCACAGTTGAAAACAGCAATGCTTCTGACACTGGTGGAGGAACAGGAGTGCGGGAGAAGCACATCGCCCCCGGCGGCATGATCCCGGTGGGGTGCCATCACGGTTCCCCCTCCCCCACTGGGCACCATGTCCCTGCAGGCGGTGCGCCACACCCCCAGGACGTGTGTCAAACCCCCGTGGGCGGTGCACCATGCCCCCAGGGCGCATGCCAGCCACGCCCCTGCCTGCTCCCCGCCCCCCCCGCCAGAGCTTGAAGCTCCGCCACTGGCTTCTGATTACCTGTTGCTGGAAACCACAGTTGGGGAGAGTGTTCTTATGCTGGAGTCCTGCTTGTGGGTTTTCCAAAAGAGGCCTCTGGTTGGCTACTTTGAGAACAGGATGCTGGACTAAATGGGCCATTTGCCTGGTCCAGCAGGCTCTTCTGTTACGTGATGTCGCTGGGCTCACTGACCAGATGCTTGTGCAGCCCACCGCTATAGATGCTGCTGTCCAAATGCCAACAAGTGCAGAAGCCAGCAGGGGAAATATTGTGTGAATGCAATGACACCTGAAGAAATGTGAGGACACCTAAATCCCTCAATTGCTAAGGAAAGACACTGCATTTATTGCACAGTAAAGCAATTTGTCTGTGCGGAGGTTCTGCCATGTCAGTTCTCACAAGGCCTGAGTGTAAGCAAGAGACTGGTTTCTGTGATGCTCTTTTGTACATCCCTGCAGAGGAGTCTCATAGAAGGGAGGGGAAGCTCATCCTGTACAGATTCCCCCCCTTTGCTTTCCTTTTTGAAAAACGTGGCTTGCATTAAACTTACAATGTTTTCTTTGAAAAAAAATTATGTGTATGTATTTCCACATTCCAAATTTGGAAGATTTAAAATGTATAAATAATCCAATAATTTGGGGGCACTGCAATAAGATTTCATGTGAGGAGATAAATCAACCTCTCATTTACATGCTTAATTCATTCCACATTTCATTCACCAGCCTTCTTGGAAAAGGCTCAAAGGTATTTCTCCGAAGGATCTGTCTTTTGCAACTTCTCCCGCTGCTGCTCAGCCTGGAGGCAGAAATGGAGCTCCACCCTAGGGCCAAATGTTGCACCCAGATGTCACAGAGTCAACCTTCTTCCAAGAATGCAACAGCTTCTCTGTTTTTGCCGTCATCCCTACCAGGCTGGGCAAGGAAGACGATGGGTGTGCCTTTTTTGGAATTCTTCTGCGGGGCCAGGAGGGGTGATTGGGACCAAATCCCCACCCAACCATGACTGACCTAGGGCAAGTCATTATCTCTCAAGGAAACCACATCGCAGGTTTGTTGGGAGGAGAAAATGTGATGACCCTGTGTGAGTGACTGCACTGAGCTGTGTGGAAGACAGAGACTGCCATGGAGGAAGGAAGAGCCTTGGACTGTGATGTGGCCTTTGCCTGTGATGATAGCCGGTGTTCCTGGAGGCTCCCCCCCCCCCCCGGTTCTGCCCCGTCTCTCAAATCTCTCCCAAAGTCTGCTAGGTGGAGCTTGGCTACCTCTCTCCTGCCCTGAGGTTTGTGATCTTCGTGCCTAGCACAGGAAGATGTGCTCAATGACGCCATCCAAGAAGCTTGCCCACCCTTCTTCCTCAGGGCCTGTTCTGCTTTGTGTCCAGGAGAAACAAATCCTGTTTTGTCTGCTCCAAAGGCTGAAGAACAGGTGCGGAGACACCTGCGTCTGTTGAGATGTTGCAGAACTTGGCAGCTTGGGCTTCTTTCTCTCTTTTTATAGGCTCAAAGCATTTTTCCAGAGTGATAAATTACCCACCCAGTTGTCAGCAGATGAAGATGGCAGGTTTTATGGACTCACCAGCACTTTAGAGAGGGGGTGGGGGCTGTGGGGGCAACGGGTGCAGGAGGCCAAGGAAAGAACCCTACTTCCAGGCATGACAAGAAATGTCTGGGGCATGTCAGCGTCTCCCCACAGTTGTGAGTGATGGCCTGACAAATGGGGATGGACGCTTGATTCTTGGGAATATGGCAGCATGGCAGGAGTGGAGATCGAAAAGCCCAGGCCAAAATTTTATTTATTGAATTTATATCTCACCTTCCTCCCCAAGGAGCTTAAAGTGGCCTACATGGTTTTTCCCCACCCCAGTTTTCCCCACAACAACCCCGTGAGGGAGGTTAGGCTGAGAGACTGTGACTGGCCCCAAGGTCACTCAGTGAGCTTCATGGCTGAGTGGAGGTTTGAGGCCTGGCCTCCGAGGTCTTAGTCCAACATGGTTTGTTGAGGCTGACAGTGAAGTTGAATCCTCTTGCTGCCACCAGCACCCTTACTGACACTCAAGTTACAGCAGAGAGCCAGGAAGCAACAGGGAGGCATCAGTGGAAAAGAGCATGTGAGCATGACCCCGGCTGGGATGTCAGTTTCTACCAGCCAGTGGCCACTGACTTTGGAGTGGGCAAAACTCCCCCTCAGTTCTTTGGCTTGTGGCTACTCCAGGCTGCCTCCTTCCTTTCCCAAATGCAGCCCAGCCCAGATTCTGGGGCCATCAGCTTTGATTGATTGGTTGGTTGATATGCTGCCTTTGTACACTACTCAGTAGCCATTAAATCTCGGAACGGCATAAAAGCCGTTCATCAGAGGAGAAAAGAAATGTAACAAACACAGCAGGGCCGCAGTACTCGCAGGTCTTAAAACTTCCAGAACCCCACAGAGTCATAAAAGACGTCAACGTTAAAAAGATTAAAAGGCCCTGAGAAAATATAAATATAAAACGGTCTTCAGCTGGCACAAAAAAGCCACAGCAGAGATGTCAGGTGAGCCTTTCTGAAGGATGGGGATGCTTCAGGTGGCTCCCATTTTTGCTAGCTACCTGTTGCCAAACCTCCTTTGTTGGAGGCAGCCAGGCAAGGGCCTGAGAAGGTGACTTGAATGTCTGTGTGGGCTTCCTTGGGGGGAGGCATCTACTCCAAGCCCAACCATATGCAGGAGGCAAGAAGGGAGGAGGGGGCGCCTCATCACCCCCTCTTTCCTGCTTCACTCAGTGCCAGGCTCCCATAAGAGGTGTAAAGCTGCTGTTGGTCTTTGCTGAAGTGACACACCAATAGCTTTCTTTAGCTGTGCATCCTGCATTGCTGGGGGTTGGACTGAATGACGCCCTGGGTCCTGTCCGACTCTACAGTTCTAGGATTCTAGGCTTCCCCGATCCTGTGTGTTGGTGGAAGCACATCTGACCACTCCTCCCTTTCAGTTTGCCTGGCAGGAACAGAAAAGGGCCAACCATCATTGGCGCCTTAGAGACCCCTTCTGATGAGACATTTTCAGCAGCTGCTCTACTGAGTTTTGAGTTCTGAGAAGCTCAGCCTGAGCTGGCCCTCCTCATACCCTTCATGGCCAACAGGAACGCCAGAGTTGGGGGAAAGGTGCCAGCGGGGGTGGGGCGTCGGTGTGCCCACAGTGGCTGACTCTTCTTGACAGCTGTCTCCACCATGTCTCACTTGTGGGGAGCCACATCCCTTGAACCAGCTCTTCACTCTCTCTCCAAACCACTGTCTGGCTGAGGAGTGAGAAGTTCTGCCTTCCCCGCAGGGTGTCAAGCTGTGGAAAGAAAGGAGGAGCCAGTTGGCAGGCAGGCAGGCCCCACAGTGGAGCCAGGGGAAGGGGGGCACTGTGGCAGATGGGGATAGGGGGGCAGAAGGCTTTCAGGTCCTCATCTTCCTCCTCCTGGCACTGCAGGGTTCCAGGGGTTGAAGCGCCACACCATATTCCAGGCACTCAGGGCAGTGGGTCAGTCACTTCCTAGACAGAGACTTCTTTGCTTTGAAGCTGCACAGGCGGTGATTCTCGGGCTCTGGTTGCATCCAGTGCATCCCCAATGCAGGTTTGGGAAGTGCTGTGTCCATGGTGTTGGCTGCACTCCATATCTAGCCTATGATTTCTTGTGAAAGGCTGTGTTTTGATGAGTTCCCCCTGCCCCCAAACCAGCTTTGGTGTGAATTGAGAAAAATTGCAGCCTTGCTGTATCTGAAACCAGTAATGTGTGCCCCAGCCACAGGTTGAACATAAGAAGAACCTGCTGCTTCAGGCTAATGGTCCACCTAGTCTAGTATCCTGGTCTCGCAGTGGCCAACCAGATGCCCCCTTGGGAAACCTGCAAGCCGAACCCAATCACAAGAAGACCCTCCTGAATTTTCCAACAATTGGCATTCAGAAGCATTTCTACTCTGACTGTGGAGGGAGCACACAGCCGTTGTGGCTAGTAGCCCTCTCTGTGGATTTGTCTTATCCTCTTTTAAAGCTGTCTAGGTTGGTGACTATCACTGCTTCCTGTGGGAGTGAGTTCCATAGTTCAACTCTGCACTGCCTGAAGAAGTCCTAATCAGAAGGCCTGATTGGACTTGTCAGCTTTCCATAGAGAGGCATGGGCTTGAGGCAAGGGAGCTCGCCCAGCTCTGCTCCCAGCCAGGGCCTGCGGCTTGAGGGCTGAACCTGCCTCTTGTTGCAGCTGATGATACTATCTCCCAGCACCCACCACTAGAATAATCCAAGTCCAAAAGGAGGTCCCCAGATGAGCCTTGAATTTGGCGGTGGGCAATCTTTAGAGGTGAAGGCAGCTCCCAGCCACACAAAGGGCATCTTTCCACGGAGCTGCTCCTGCCCTTGTGAGGAGGACAGGCAGCCTGGGAGAAGACACTGTTACATCAGCAGCACCCTGAGCATGCATTGCAGATCATCTAAATCATTCCCAGGTCTTGCCCAAAGTCCAATTTTACTAGCCACAAGAGTCAGTCTAGATGAGGGGAGAACAATTTGCAGGCATTTCCCACCCCCCTGCTGGATGGCAAAATAGCAAAGTGGTGTGTGTGTGTGTGTGTTTCACACTTGGGACCTTCTCTAAGCCCCAGCTGACATTCTGAGGAGACCTCAAAAATCCTGGATGAAAACAAATGTAAAAATTATAGGTACATTTGTAACCTATTACCACTCAGCCTTTATGAAACCCTACACGTGCTGGCAAGGGGGAGAAAGAGTGGTGCCGTCCAAAGTATTTCCTTTTAAATGAGAAAATTGCTCCAGACCCCATCTGGGCTCAGGCAGCTGCCTCTGGAAGGGGCCAGGCTCTGTTCTTGAAACAGAAAACACTGAAGGCAGGGGGAAGATGCTGTGATGCAAATGATCCCAGTGCTGTCTCACAGCATGGCAGGGCAGAGGCACAGGGCTTAGTCTCATCTCTCCAAAGGTGGGAAAGAGCTGGGCATCTTTGCTGTGTGGCTGGGCCTATGCCATGGACACAGGCTGCGCTCTCCACACCTTGGGACTTGCTGGAGAAAGGGCTTTGAGAAAAAGAAAAGTGGGGGTGGGCTAAAAACAGGGCATCCAAAGTGGGCAGGGGAATAGGAACACCTCTCTGCATTGGCCTTCCATTAAAATGCCCAGTCATTGGTTTAGAGAAAAGGCACATAAGAGGCGGAACATGGAACTAGAACTTGTGGACAGCCAATGAAGCTGATTGCAGGAAGCTTCAGGACAGATCAAAGAAAGGACGTCTTAACGTGGCGCATCGTAAAAGTATGGCGCTCCTCCAGGAGGCAGTGATGACCACCAAATTGAATGGCTTTAGAAGAGTGTCAAAATCATGGTTGAAACGGCTATTGATGGCTACTAGCCATGATGGCTATGCTCTGCCTCCACAGTTGGAGACAGCAATGCTTCTCAATGCCAGCTGCTGGAAACAACGGGAGGGGAGTGCTCTTGTGCTCAGGTCCTGCTTGCCTGTTTCCCTTTGGGGCATATGGTTGTTCACCATGAGGACAGGATGCTGGACTAGAT